AAGCTGCTGCTTGTCCTTCTGAAGAACAGCTGCAGAGAAGGAAAGAAACGCTAAAGAGACTGGCTCAGATGCTATAAACTTGCAGAAAAAGTGTGAGCAGTCCAAGCCTAAAGCCAGACAGCTTGTGGGACTTTCTCACCACTGTTTATGGTCCTGCAGGCTTTTAAGGTTCGCTTGGTCAGTGATTTTCCTGAATAGGAAGCTGATTTTACCACCTTTCTCCCAGCGGCTCAATCAAGACAGTGCTATGTGGTCATTGCCTGGGGTCTCTCCCATACCAGTTTTTTGACATTTAAGATGCAAAGATTAAGCTGTCACTCTTACTGAATTTAATTCTTAACATGAGGATTTCTGTTTGTGCTCTCTGCTGATGGGGGAGTTGATATCCTTCCCCCGCTGAGTATCTGAAGCTGTTAAATATCAAGCAGAAAAAATATCCATAGCTGGGGGCAGAACTGAGATCTGACTCCCCAGGAGTTCAGGGCTATTCCCTTCCCTTAGATTGAAGGAAATGCGATGTAGACCACGCTGTGCACATTTTACAAGCTGGATTTTCCATAAGTGGGTTTCAGATCACAGAATCACAGAATGACATGGGGTTGGAAGGGATCATCTAGTCCAACCCCCTGCCAGAGCAGGTCCATCCAGGTTGAACAGGAACTTGTCCAGGTGGGTTTTGAATGTCTCCAGAGAAGGAGACTCCACCACCTCTCTGGGCAGCCAGTTCCAGAGCTCTGCCACCCTCAACGTAAAGAAGTTCCTCCTCATGGTGGAACTTCTTCTATTCAAATTTGTGCCTGTTATCTCATGTCCTATCCCTGGGCACCACTGGAAAAAGACGGGCCCCATGCTCTTGACACCCTCCTTTTAAGTATTTATAAGCATAACTCTGCTCATCTGGTTTTTCTTCCAGAGCCAAAACCTCTTTTGTCAGTCAGTGTGAGAATTGTCAACTGTGTGCCTTCCCTTTGCTCAAGAGACGGTGTAATCTCAGGGATGTTCTGCTGGAAAAGTGAGTGAGTGGGGTGTAGCTGTCCCACAGCTCAAATCTGAGCCTTTCAAAATACCACCTAATATACCGTGTGGCAGGTTTGGTAAACTTTACCACTTGTTAACAGCTTTGGTGTGTATCATATACCAACCATGTATGTTCTTGCCATGTTTGGGAACTGTTCTGGCTCACGGGTGATTTTTGTAGCCGTGCAGTGTAGATTGCATCAGTGCATCCAGCTTCATTTCATTGAACTGCAGCCCCTTCAGTATTCAATATAAACCTTATTCAGCCGATAATGTCTGGCAGCCTCAGCAGCAGCAGACAGCTCTCCTTCGACTTTGTCTTTCAGGGTTTTCATGGTTGAATAGTCAAGGATCACACCTGCGAGCCTGGACTTTGTTTAGCCTGTTAAAATGCTGTTTATGTGCTCTGGCTTGTACTCTGCATCCTTCTGTCCCATACAAGGAATGTTCAACTTCGCGTTAATTCCCAAATTATATACGGGTCCCAGACTAACGGAGCATTCTTTGTCAAAATATACAAAGATTAAAGCTCCAGGTTTTTTTAACATATTTGTAAACCTTACGAAGTATGTGCTTTCAGCAGCTGGGTATCTTTCTTTAAACAACCCTGTTCTTGATACAAGAGTGTTTCCATTTCCCCCATCTGCACAAGCAGTTTTTGTGACCCCGCCGAGCTGTATCATGGAGTGCCATAATCTGTATGAAACTGGTGGCGAGAGGAGATGGGGAGGGATGGGAGTGAAAACCAGTCCAGAGCCACTGTGAATTCACATCCTCTAGTGGAACGTTGGCACCACTTTCCCTTCCTCCCTCTCCACTGGTTGATTTTTGAGCTGTTTAGGCCTTGACTTCTAGAAATCTCAGCCACACAATGGAATTTGAAGCTAGAGAGCAGGAGCTGCAGGCATCCAGGAACCCAAACCTCTTCTTTAAATAAATGCTGTGTATTGTTTTAATCATGATGGAGCCTAGTTTTTTTCTGAGTCACTGAGCGGGGTGTCACAGAATAAATGCTGTGTATTGTTTTAATCATGATAGAGCCTAGTTTTTTTTCTGAGTCACTGAGTGGGGTGTCACAACTTGATAGTCATTATAGATTAGGGCTCAGTTTAGGTGGCTGGGGTATGACATTACATCTTATTACTGCATAAACTTCTTTAAAATATGGATATAATTGAAAATCTTCAATAACATCAATAGTTTGTTTTTAGTGATTTGTCGTGGATGATCAAAACTAACGAGTGTCTTATCCAGATCCCACTAGATTGGTGGAAGAAGATTTCTTCTGGGTTAAATGTACTTTGAGCTGATCCCAGAAGTATCAGTGTGTTTATCATAGTTTATAAGCTCAGGAAGACTCCCATATTTATGCTTATGGACTATTTAAAAATCTTTACAAGACATGGTGGACACATTGCTTCATTCTGCTTTTAATCGATTCGATAAGCCCTGTTCAACTACACTACTTTAAAAAAAGAAAACCTAGTTAAGAAAAACAGTGCTTTGGCAGGTCAGCGAGATGTTTCCTTCTTCGGGGTAGGCAGAGACCAAACAGGAATGTACCTTTTCATGCCATATGTATTTTTAGTTCTAGGTCTGGCTTCTAACACATGCAGGAACCGCAGTGTAATACTGAATTGTTGCCTTTTCAAATAGATGGTGCAGATTGTTCAAACTGATAACACTCGGTGGTTCCTGAGTCTGAGCCTTAGGTATGTGTGGTTTTATGTTTAGTAACGCACTGGGAAGAGCTGGGAACTCCAGCTCGGGGACCTTTTTTAAAGCAACTGCAGCTGGAAAACAAACTTCAAGAAATGTTATTAAAAGCTCCTTGCTCAGAAGTTAGGAAATATCAGATTCAATACAGACTTGAAAGTGTTTGGTTTGACCATCTTGTGTAGGTGCCCAGTCTGCTGTTACATGGTCATGTTGACATTTTTCTACTGAACCTCATGTCCATCCACTGCCATCCTCTTCATCCTGCTTGAACCATGCTGGTCTTAACCGGCCAGTCAATATTTTGCGTGATCTCATTGGTCGCTTCTAAATGCCTTCCTTTGTAAAGTGTTTTCAAAAAGTGAAAGTGAAGTGTGCTGTGGAAGTCCTAAACCACAGACTCAGCTTTTTCTCAAAGTTACCCACGATCAGCCTCAGGTGAAAAAATATACATCACTGTCACCCTCCTGGCTTTCACCCAGGCCAAAGGCTCTCGTGTTGACTTAGAGTTATGTGAGCGTTTTTAAAACAAAGCTAATCCTCCAACCTCCCCCCTTACCCCCCAAAAAATACCAAACCAAACCAAAAACCCACCACCAAATGAAAAACCACAACAACCAAAACCCCACAACGAAGGGAAGATCTAAGACCTGTAGCAGAGGGGTTTGGCAGTGCTGCTGAGATGGACGTGCACGTGTTACTCTGTTCCACTGCAAAGACCTGTTTCAGTTATTCAAGAAAACCCTGCAGTTGCCAGTGGCACATATATATATAAAAAAAAAATATTTTTTTTTAATCAAACCATTCTTTTGATTTTCCTAATTACCTTAGTATACAGCTCAGAGTATTTTGCCTTCATTTATGTAGATAGAAATCTCTTTTTTTCCCCCATCTGGGACGCTTGGATCAGCTGTAACCCATTTGCGATTGAAATCCTCCAGGCTTTTTTTTGGGGGCTGGTTTGGATGTATCAAAGAGGGAGCCTGTGACAGTGGTGCTGTGCTCCAGTTGCTGGAGAGACAAGTCCCCATCGTTAAATAAGGTGTAGTGGGAATGAAAGAGAGCGATGCTCTCGATGTTGTCTTGATCAGAGCAGTAGCTTAAGGGCGTTTGGGTTTTTCTTTCTGTTCAACGTGCGCCATGTGTGCTGGGAAAGGCAACACGATGGGGGGGAGTTAACTCAGTGATGAGAGATGTAGCATCTGATGGTGTTTTGAGAACATGGAGGCACTTTGTTCTGCCCCGGCAGTGATTTCCTGCCCCTGCTGCAGGAAAAGGCGCACAGCGGGGCTGGCAGGCTGCAGGTCCCCCCTGCCTTTTGCTGCAGAAAGTCTCCCCTTCGACACGTACATCAAACTGGGGAAGGAACTTCACAACCGTAGCGTTTTTTGGAGGGTGTATGTGGCTGAGAACAGGTTCTCTCATCCCTACCTCTCCAACTGAAAATCACCAAAGCCATTTTAAAGTTCGTAGTGAAGCCATTTCTGGGTGTTTGCTGGTGACACTGGAGAGAGGAGCACGTTCTGCCCAGTAAAGCGACCCATCCTGCGCTGCAGCAGGATGTTCACCTATTTGTTTCAGTAAGAAGAAAATAAATAATAAAAAAAATAGAACCAGACCAGAACAATGCAAAGGGAAAGCACCAGCAAGAGAACAGTATGTTCTTTGTAATGCGTTTTCTTTGGGGACATCTATTGCTGGCAATAAGATTAAATCACTGAAACCTTCCCTGAAGCTACATCTGCCACTGCCTACATTTTCCAACCTCAGTAATAAACTAACATTTGCCATTGTTCGTTTCTTCTGGATTTCATTTCTTACAGATTTAACCAGCGCTATTTACCACAAGGCATTCGGCTCTTGCTTAAAGCTGAGATCTATGCCAAGTCCCTAAAAATATTCATAGCTCCAAAGAATCTGGTTTTAAATAATATCATAAAAAGTAGACGATATTAATACGGCGGTTCACACTGAGTTCAGTACTGCTGATGCCAATGTATAAAAATGATGGAAGCCTGAGAAGCTCTAGACAAGAGTACCCTGAAGTGATGAACAAAATCTTTTTTACTGGTATCTATCTGTGTTTTGATTACAGGAGTAATCTTCTTATCCCAAAATATTTTAAAAAGAGATGAATCTGTGTTACAGCCGTGCTTATCCCGAGATGGAGCACTGCACCTCTTTGCTGCCTGGGGTGGGCTGGGGCTGCCCGTTTTGGGGGTGGTTGGGAAGGGAGGAGTATTCACACCACCCTCTTCTTCCCACAGGATGCCATAGTGATCCATGAAGTTTATGAAGAGGGGGCAGCAGCCCGGGATGGCAGGCTTTGGGCCGGCGATCAGATCCTGGAGGTAAAAGAGTCTCTCCTTGTGTATGTGCTTGTATCTTTGTCAGGTATATTTGTATTCAACGCAGCGGGGGTTTCTTGTAGGGGAAAGAGGGATCATTGAGTAGGGTCTCTACTTGAAGCTTCTTTCCTGTCACTAAGAATGTCCTGACAAATTCATATTTCCTTACATATTCATATAAACTGAAGGTACAAATTGAGAATATATTAAATTTAATTGAGCAAGGCAGTTCTCGAATTACATAGTTCAGCTGTCATGTCCAATAGCTCACTATTATTCATTTGTTTAATCTTTCATTCGGAGGCCTGCGCTCACCGCTGCCGCTCCGGCATCCCTGGGCTCCCTGAGCACCCTGGGCTGGGGGGGGGAAGAGGGCCACAGCATCCCAGCCAGCATCCCTGCGCACATCCCTGCCAGCATCCCTGCCTGCATCCCTGCCAGCATCCCTGCCCACATCCCTGCCCAAAAACCCACGCTGCCCACCCTGCCAGGGGAGCTGCCGGCTCCTGCAGGCCACGGTTCAACGCGGAGAATGATTTCTGTGAATAAATACAGTGGGGTTCTTTTCCCCCTGGCAGAAAAGCATGGAAAGGGAGGAGGGAAAGGGTTAAGAGCGAAGTGTTGGTCTGCAAATGAAACTTGCGTCAGGCAGGGGTTCAGCGCAGCTGCTGCAGCCTCTCGCTGTCAGACCAGGACAAATTCCCAGCATGGCCATTAAGGCTTTGGTGTGTAGGGTTAGAAAAATAGCAAGGGGTACTTGGGGAGTTGTCTTTACAGCTCTTGCATTGAAAATATATATTTTTTTATTATTTTTTTTTTTAGCGTTGTGGCTGAAATGTTGTTTTCGTTTTATAAATAACCGTGTATTAACAGAGCAGAGTAATTAGGGGATAAAAATGGGGAAGGTTAATTAATTCTTCTCTGGCCAAACAGGAAAGTGCTAATGTTTGTGTGCCGTAATATTGTTATTATTTCAGCTTTTAAAAGCCCTACTAATGAATCAAAAAGATGACTCTGAATTAGTTTCAGATTAGTATGATAAAGCACACGTAGATGCCTGTGTCGAGAAAAGAATACCAACACAGTACATAAATAAACGTGTGCAGAATTAGAACAAAAGAATATAATTACTATAGATTAGGCTTAATTAACTTAATGTAAAATTAAGTATGATTATAACTTTGCATATCTAGAAATACTGAGAAATATTTTCATTGCCTTAAAACTTATTGTGTTATGTGAGTGGATTAACATTATATTGTTACTGAGTTACAGTTCATAGTACTTCCTTAAAAATATTTAAGCATTGATACTTTCTAGTATTGAGAAATAAAAGATGGTTTTGTCAACAGAATATTGGCAAACAACTTAAAGGGCATCTGTGGATCAGGCTTGGCAAAATTAAGTTTCAACTTGGAATATATTTTTTTTTGGTACTTCGGCCTTCAATCAGAACTTCTTGTTGGGTCTGATATTACTAAAATACTAAAACGTTTTCAGGTTATTGTAAGAGAAATGTAATGGAGTGCTCCAGGAGCGGTCTTGTGTGCCATCTATTGGAACAAAGCAAAATAACCAGTTAATAGGTCCTGCCTGGCCTTCGCCATTGCCATGTGCCCGTGTTTCTGATCCCTCCCATCCTGCTCCGTGTGTCGGGAAGCCTGGGGAGAAGGAATCTGAGCAGTAAGAGAGATAGGAAGCTCAAAGGAGCACGTCCCACTTTGTTTAGGTGTAAGAAAGAATCATTGTTTGAGGTTCCAGCATTTCAAAAGAAGGGAAGAACACCCACAAAACTTAGAAGGCAAAATGTTTTGATTATTGTGATTTACACAAAGTGCTGAACTGGCTCGCGGTAGGAGATCCAGGAGCTCAGCCCTCTGGAAATGGGAGCACTAAATTACAGTGCCAGGGGGTGTCAATTTGACAAATTTGCCCTGTCACACAAGGGTAGGGCGTGATGAAAAGATCATTTATATGTGTCATTTGGAAAGAAAACACTGATTATTTCAGGTGAACGGGATCGATCTGCGGAATGCCAGCCATGAAGAAGCTATCACTGCGCTGAGACAGACGCCCCAGAAGGTGCAGCTGGTTGTTTATAGAGATGAAGCACATTACAAAGATGAAGAAAACTTGGAGATTTTCTATGTAGATATACAAAAGAAAACGGGCCGGGGACTGGGGCTCAGCATAGCTGGAAAACGGTAAGAGCGTCTCTCTGATCGCACTGCACTTCAAATGAGAAATATTTTTCTTTTTTGCCATTAAATGGAACATGAAATAAAGGAAAAACTCCATCAGGAGCAGAAGTTTGTGCCTAAATATCTTTAGGGGTGCCGTGGGGCACTCTTCTATCAGAATGATGACACAGAACCCATGTGGGCAGGGCTGGTGCTGGCCAGGAGGGCTCCCAGCACGGAGTGTGCCCAGGTGGCCACACGCAGAGCCAGGAGGTCACTGTTGTGCTGGCTTCAGCATAGGTGTGCCTCAGGGCTCGAAAGCCCTACCCACGGCTTTTTGGGTTTCAAAATGGGGAGAGAAGCCTTCCTGTTACCAAATACCAGGATATGCCTTTGAAAATGGATTTGTGAATTAGATCTAGTTGCTGCTCAGGTTCAAAGGGACCAATGTCAGTGGAAGAAGTTGAGATAGACCCAAATCCTGAAGAATATCAAAGTGACTCTCCAACCCTGTAGACAGCAGTTCTGTGAGTGCAGCTCAGATTCTAAGATACGGTTGTAGGTAACAGCTGCTTAATAAAATGTGACTTTTTACTGATGTATTTCCAAACCATTGCTATTAGATCATTCGAACCAGTGTGCTGATAGATTTAATCTTTCGTTGCTAGAAGAGATTTACGGCACGACACTGGTGAGCACTCGTTCAGTGTTAGCACATAAAGAGTCATATGGTTGCTCTTCTGGATTGCCAAAAAAAATTTATTTTCCCAATTACAAATCATCATGTCATTATCCTGACGGTGTATGGTCAGCAAAGTTTCCGCAGCTTTTTTTTTTTTTTACAAGAGTGGCGATGTTTAACCCAGGTGTTGTGAGCAGATTGCGGGTTGGGTAATTAATTTAGCTTATGTAAATTACCCTACAGATGGTAATCGCAGTCTCCAGCCCTCCCGCGTTTGGTTCTGGGCAAAACTTTTCTGTACTGTTGCTAAATGCTTTGCTTGAGGGGATTCCCACCTTCCAGTCTGAAGTCGATTTAATGATACCCAGGTATAATTCAGGTTGGGAAGTGTTGTGTCCTTCAAGGGGAAGGGCACCAACCGCCCAGTCCTGGTGTTTTACTGGCACCAGCTCCCACCATAGCGAGCCCCGGAGCTGGGGCCAGCACAGAGGGTCCTGTGGCCCCCCCTGGGAGGAGGCTGGAGCTGATAAATAAATATATTCCCCTGGCCTCGTGGCCGGCTGCTCCTGCAGGCCTCGCTGCGGGCGGACAGCCACAAGCCTGGGGTTTCTGCTGCATAACTCATGTGCAGACTATAAAAGTCTTTTCTGCAGAGTTCTCCCTGCTCTTCTGTTGGGGGCCTCCGGGCTTCTAGAGCAGAAACCGAGCTGCACCTTCAGGGGGAATGCAGGAAAAAAATATCTGAGGCTGCATAATTCATATCGGGCACATCAGGAGAGAGTTGAACTCCATCTTAGACCCATCCCTGGCTTTTTATTCATACAAGTGGTATTTTTTATGAATCTTTATGGCTCATACAGTCAGAACTAACTGTTCAAGGGGAAAGACAGCATTAAATATAGCAAAACATGCCTTGATTTTAAAACTCATAGGTTTTTTCCACTCGAATGGTTGAATGGGGTGTAAAACTAGTTCTTCCTATGCTCACAGGTTTCTTTTAAAGTCTCTTAAATGTGTGTAATCTAAATTGGTCTCCCAAAGAATATTGGATTTTGTAATTAGCCATATGCTTCTTGCATTGTTAGAAATGGAAGTGGAGTGTTTATCTCTGACATTGTTAAAGGAGGAGCTGCAGACCTAGATGGAAGATTAATTCAAGGAGATCAGATTTTGTCTGTAAATGGAGAGGATATGAGAAATGCCTCGCAAGAGACTGTTGCCACCATACTTAAGGTGAGTACATAATACATTTTAAGATACTGGATTGTAGTCACTGACACTATGCAAGGTGATTATCCTGAAGTGCTATTTACACATACACGGGACAGCTCGAACTGATTACCGAGGCAGGAATTTCATCTGAAATAACTTTGGGAGATTCATTTAAAATCACTTCTCCGTGTATATTTAGAAGTGGGATGATACCAAGTGGGAAAACAAAAGCACATGTAGTATTTAGGGATTTACTTGAAAATGCAACTGGGTATTTCATACGTTAGAAAAATACTGGGGAACCTGAGAGGCATACAAATCAGCACTGAAATAAAATGCCTTTGGCTTTGCTGTACTAACCTGCAGCTATAAAATGGCAGCTTAAATCCGTTTCTGCACAGCTTTCTGTCTTCCCAGGGTGACTTTATACTCTGAAGTTGTGCAGTCTGGAAGAATTTGCTTTTTGCCATTAAAAAGCTTGTAGCTGCTTAAATCGGGGGGAGAGGGCAGGGGGTGGCCTGGCTGCCGGTGCCTGATGTTAGCTCCTCCGTGCCGCTCCTGGGCCCCACAAGCCTGTTGCAAGGGTGAGAGGATGGGTGGGAGCCATGCTGCGGACCCATTTCTCCTCAAAACTACATCTGGAGACAAGGGCTTTTTCCCTGCCATCACCACTGGTGTTTCTGCATATGATTTCTTTCATTCTTAAAAGGAAAGGCTAATTATTTCCTTGCTTTTTCCATCCAGGGTTGGTACCTGGCCAAAAGTTTACCTATTTAAGAGTTGGAAATTGGTGATATGAGGGTATATTACTAAGTTGAGTGCAGATGCGTTAAATTCACCTTTTTCAGCAGCATTTTTCCTCTGAAGTGCTTTCCATGAGTGTTGTTTGTGGCAAACATCTCTCAAAGAGTTGGGATCTTTTTGCTTATTTTTACTGAGCAATTGGCCATCCACAGTTTGCCTGTAGGAAGATTCATACTGATTTCAGCAACCAGGGATAAACCTTCAGAATAAACCCCAAATCCAGGGATGGACACTTTTTGTATTGTCTAAATACAAATGTGAATGTTTTGAGCGTTCCTTGTGGTTTTCTTCACGGCATTGTGGAGCTGAATATAAACAGAATTCTCTCCAGGAGAGCATCTACTTATATGTCTACTTAAATGCTGTACCTTGTGGTTTTTTTTTTCCAAGTGTGCCCAAGGCCTAGTGCATCTCGAGCTTGGGAGATTGCGAGCTGGATCATGGCTATCTTCACGGAAAACATCCCAAAACAGCCAGGTTAGTGACAAATTCATATCTATAACATGAAGCTGTGACGGGCAGGACACGGGGACAGCGCTCCTGAGCCTTCCACAGACCATGCTGGGGATGTGGAGCAAAATATTTTATCCCAGCAATTTTCTATATGAAACTGCAAAGTCGGTGTCATGCTGAAATGCCAATTCAGTAGAAGAGGTAGTTCATGTATTTTTCTTTTTTAAGGGGTGTCTTCCTGAGACACAATAGAAATATGTAATATATTTCTCAAATGGCGATGCCCAGAATTTTTTTTTTTAAATGCTGAATGTATTTTCTGCAGCTGTTTTGTCAATCAAAATGAGTTAATGAAACTGAACTGTATCTTTGCCTATCTTATGGCAGAACCACATGAGAGCTGCTTTCCTCTCAAAGAAAACACAGAGCAATTTCCTGCTTCACTTGCTTTTTACCTGAAGCGAGGACAACAATTCATTTTTCAATCAGAGCAGGGCTTTTCCCCTCTCCCCGCGCCCCCCAATCAGCTCAGACACTGATACCGTTGGTATTAAACCTGAGGATTGCAAGGGAGAAAAACAAGGCAAGATGACTTAGAAAACTTTTTTTTTTAATGGATTTTCCTTCCGAAGAGCCAACTGCTTTGCCATGATATCAAAGCTGCCCTTGTCCCTGAGAGGGGAGGCTTGTCCTTGATGTTGCGCATGAACGACCCCAAAAGGGTGCCAAAATCATAGTCATGTGCTGTGATTTCTTAACTTTCTGAAGTGATGCTGCCTGTTCTCTGGGTGGGTGAAGTGTCAGGAAGGGCTAAAGAGCCCGTAGCCACGTGGGAACAGCTGGACTGAGCCCAGCTTTGAAAATAATCACTAAATATCATTGGAGAAACATCTGCACTGCATGCAGCGGGCAAGGAAAAATGGAATAACGGAGGAAAGCGATGCTGATTGCATTAAGTAAAGGCAGCAGTCTCAAATATTACTTTCTTCTGGTCATTGTGTCAAAAGATAGGCTAAGGAAGAGGATTGGAATCAAAAAAGCCACGGTTAAAAATTATCCACCCAGTTTTACTGTGTAAAACTCATAGCTGAAAGGGAAGCAAAACGCTGTAGTATTTAACATGATTCCAGGTAGAAAATCAGATCAAACAACGTCGTCCCCTTTTCTTCGTAGCAGAAGAGGCTTTTGCAGGAACCTAGTGATTTCTGTATTTCCTTTAATACTAGAAATCTTAATTGCTGTTCTTCACGCAGAGTCATTTGAGAGCCTTCGTCTCACTGCCCCTAAGTGACTCGGTGATTTTGAAAAGTGAATAAATGTTTCTCAGCAAAAGCCTTCCAAGAGTTATAAAAATCTTGGCAGATAATACGGCAAATCAGCTTGAATGATTTGCACAACTGGGAGCCACGTTTCAGAAGGCGCTGGCCAAGAGCATCCAGAACTTTTGTCCTCACTTGGCTTTTTTTCTTGGTCCATCACATACCTTTAGGGGGAGGGATGCAAGCCTTGGGGTGCAGACAGGGGTTTCTTTCACGCACATTGCAAATTATGTTCCCTGCCCCATGAATTGGCAACTGGAGGTGGAAATTGTGCTCTGCCTGTTGTTCCTCACTGACAGCTGCACGCTGGGCAGCCGGGAGGAACGCTGCCAGAGCCTTTGATTCCCCACCTAATGCGTTTAGAAGGGAGAAGGCTCTGCTGTGGATGGAGAAGTAGAGACCAGGTCTTTGTTTTACATAAGGCAGCTCAGTTGGAAAGATCTGGCCCTCGGTGAAGCCTGTTGTTCAGACGCACTTCCTAAATTGAGAATGATGTTTTCTCCAGGGGCAGGGTCTGAAGATAAGGCTGGATAAGGAGGTAGGGAAAGGAGGGCTGGGAATGGACAGCCAAGAACTGGTTACGTGCACAAGCAGCTGTCTTCAGAGGCTGTCAGTATCACAGAATGATGTGGGGTTGGAAGGGACCTCTGGAGATCATCTCCTCCAACCCCCTGCCAGAGCAGGTCCACCCAGAGCAGGTTGCACAGGAATGTGTCCAGGTGGGTTTTGAATGTCTCCAGAGAAGGAGACTCCACCATCTCCCTGGGCAGCCTCTTCCATAGCTCTGCCACCCTCAAAGTGAAGAAGTTCCTCCTCGTGTTTAGATGGAACTTCTTATGTTCAAGTTTGTGCCTGTTATCTCATTTCCTATCCCTGGGCACCACTGAAAAAAGACTGGCCCCTTCCTCTTGACACCCTCCCTTTAAGTATTTCTAGTATTTAAAGTGTTCTCCCTTTTGTCAGCTCTAGGACACAGGCATCTCATCCCACACCTGGGATGTGACTCTGGTTCTTGGTCAAATGAAAGGAGCAGCTTCGAATACAGGACCTTGTAATCAGACAAGACATTTAGCTAAAATAACAAAGCCTGTAGCTTAAAACAAGATGGGTGTGAGTGCCATCCCTGTCCCCTGGGAGAGGAGCTGCTACGTGTCCTGCCGGGTGCACACTCATCTGAGTGTGAGCTGCCTTCAGGATGCATCACGGAGGAGATGCCCACAAGCTTTAGCAGCAACCATCATCTCCCCTTCTTGTCAGGGTGGGAGACACACTGGGAATAAGCAGAGGAGGAGGATTAATTTTATTTCCTTATGCTGTCTAGAGCAGACTTGAACAACATACACTCTTGAACAACATACAACATACACATCAGGTGTGCAGTGCTATGGCTTTGCCCTCAACTCGGGGATGGATTTTGGTAGTTTCTCCCTTTGGAAATGAAGTTGGAGGATTTTGCACTTGCGTGGCCAATGTGGTATTTCCAGTCTGGTTGGCACAGAGCACAGCTGCACCCATATGTTGTGAAAACTGGTATAAAGTTAATATTTGGGTCTGACTCACTAGTTCTGGTTTATTTTTTTTATTTCAGGCGAGCCAACAGAGTGTCCATGGCCACTTCCACCCTGCGCTCGCTCCGGTCCTCTCTACCTTACAGAATTTTGTCAGCACAAAAAGATCTTCAGCAGATGTGTCTCAGAGAAACTCAGGTATAATCTGGGTGGCTGTCAGAATAGCTGCCTGTTATTTGCTTTGTATTTGTGCTGGTTTAAAAGCAAAACTGAATACTTCATTCTGGTTTTCCTACTCAGCCTCCCAGAAGACGTAGCACTGATATTTTTAAGACCAAAGCACTTTCCAGCAGATGACATTATTTTTATGTCTGCTAGTAGAGTAAAAGTTCCTTTATTTGAAGTGCAGAGTTCCTGCTCCCTGCTATTCCCCGACGCCCTTGTCGGAGGCTTAGCACAGGCAAGGTTCTCGCTTTAGGAACGGTTTTCTCAGGGAATAAAGCTGCCACCACTTCATTTATATCTTTGTTGCTCTTGAGCCTATAAAGGGGTGTTTTGTAATGAGAAAGTCACAATGCTCAGCTCGCTCGCTATTCCCAGATTTAGCAAGTGTTGGATCTACAACCTGTGGGAGCTTGTGGAGAGGCTGCTCCTCGGTGTGCTCTGGCTGGGGTCAGGAGCTGGTAACCTTTGCTCATGTCCAACTGTGGGCTGAAGACATTTCTTCTGCCAGTTTGCAAGCAGTGGAGGAGGCGTGTGGCTTTTTGGGGAGCTTTCCCTGTGCCGTTTGAATCATAGAATCATAGAATCATAGAATTTCCCAGGCCAGAAGGGACCTCCAAGGGTCATCTAGTCCGACCTCCCCGCAGTCAGCAAGGACACCCCCAACTAGACCAGGTTGCCCAGGGCCTCAGCGAGCCTCTTCTTGAATATCTCCAGGGATGGGGCCTCAACCACCGCCCTGGGCAACCTGTTCCAGTGCTCCACCACCCTCACAGTAAAGAACCCCCTCCTAATCTCCAGTCTAAATCTGTTTGGAAGGGCCCTGTGGCGCTGAGGATTCAGCATCCCTGGGGCTGGGCTTCCTGCTGCCCCTCAGCTGTTCTGCTGGGGGTCTGCAGAACAGGTATCTGCCCAAGCACCCGTGCGTGGCAGTGAGAAGTACTGATATGTGTCATTCAGAATCATTAACTCTTGAAAGAGACTAATTTTGCTTGCTTTCTAAAAGGTTCTTAACATAGTTTAATTAAAGCTGGTAGAATTAGGGGTAGAGCAGAGCCCAGGTCCTGACAACACCATCAGCTTTTTGGCTGTTTAGTCCCAGCTCAAATGATTTTTTGGAAGTGTCCCTTTTTTCCCTTATTTTCTTTTTTTTTTTTTGTTTATGTGGGTTTTTTTTACTGTTTTGAGTACTTCTGAATGTCCTATGGCTAGATATATGCCAGCCAGACCTTCCTGGCTGTCTATTATTTCCTAATACAGAACAAATTAGATGAGGAAATCAATGGAACCTCAACCAGTCTCAGGCCAGCCGTGTCCCCTACCCTTTGTGGTGGGGACGCTGTGATTTATGAATAATAAGCCAACCTTTAATGGAGTGCAACACACAATAGGGCTTTTCTTCAGGCCGGCAGAGAGCTGCTATTCAGTAGGGGGGGGTGAGCGGCGGCTGCGCTGCGATGGGCGTCGCGGTGGCATCCGTCAGCCGGAGCGATGACATCCCTATTCATCCCTGGGTGACACAGGGATCCTCTCCTCCTCACGTGAGCTTCACTGCCTGGTTTGGCACAGGAAGGCTCCGCTTCTGCTCGGCGATAACTCTGACTAGGCAGCAAGGGACCATTGTCACCCGACAGCGTTATCTCTTCATTATATTATCTCTTAATTACAGGAGGTAATTGTTTGTTTCTTTATTAGTAGGAGCAGATACGGGCCCGAGGACTGTGGAGATAACAAGGGTCAGTGAGTTATTTTCTATCGATTCAAAAAGCTGACACCTTTAACTGAAGTTGTTAATTTTTGTTGCATTTCTCAGAAGTAGAATTGCATTATTTGTGTTTGCAGTAGGCTGGTGGATGCGTGGCTGTGTAATGGGCCCTGCGTGTGCGAGGATGTGTGTGTCAGTTAATCCTATCTATTTTCTCCCTGTTCCATAAATCAAATGAATCAGTTATTTCTATACCCCAAACACTGACCTCTATAAGTTATTCCAATTGCAAATGTTGGTTTGCTTTGCTTTTATTTTAGGGGCCAAATGATGCGCTTGGTATCAGTATAGCAGGAGGGAAGGGAAGTCCTTTAGGAGATATTCCCATCTTCATTGCCATGATCCAAGCCAGTGGTGTGGCTGCACGTACACAAAGGCTCAGAGTGAGTAGAGGGGTCCCCTCAACATTTCCTATTTCATCTGCCAGAGATGGTCCCCTCAACATTTCCTATTTCATCTGCCGTGTGTCCCACAGAGAAGGAGCCTCAAGCACTTCTGTATATGCCATCACTTTGATAATGTCTCATAGGCTCTGCTTCTCACCCCCCCAAAAAAATCCACACTTGCCCTTCTCTTCCTTTTTCAATTATATTGCATCTTGGGATAATGGCAATTGTTGCCCACATTGGAAAAGTGACATTAAGAGAAAGAACATAAACACATTTGCAGTGGTTTTTGAATGTATATCTTGATCCAGACCCAGGGAGGGCAGCAACATGCTCTCTGGAAATCACAGGCATTTTGGGGACTGGAGGCTGGGCATCATGTAAAGCTCAAACCAGCTAAAAACCAGGTCGGAAGTTAGTTGTTTGATTTCAAGGCCCTTATAAACAAACACCAAAATAAGGCACTTATATCAGACCCACAGGATATGTGGGTTTCCAGGAATGACCATGGTGAACCCTTTCCATTTTGGAGAGAGTTTCAAGATACCATTAGTATTGAAAAGAACTTATTAGCAGATATATAGGACTGCTTTGGCCCATGAGATTTATTAGCACACGCTGCTACATTCATGCCATGTCTCTAACAGAATTACACAATAGCACTAAGGTCCAGGGTCAAGATCATTGTTATGTATAAGAAGAAGAAATCATCTAGGTTAATTAGATTAATATCAGAAGTGCCTTCTTTCATATACTGCGTTCCACATGTGCACACATAGTCAGAATGTGAACTTGTCTGCACATATGGACACAAATTAATCCTTTCTGGGCGGGAGGACAGCAGTGAAAATCTCACTCTCTCTGCTTGCAAATAGAAAGAGTAAAATACAACCCATCTTTGTTTCTCTGATTGCATTGTTATTTTTAAAAAATCTGTGTTGTACTTGCTCTGTACTTGCTCTGAAGAATGGTAAATGATCACTAGCAATGCAGAATTCTCACAAAAGGGATCCTGCAAAAGAGAAGCATGACTGTGCGGTGCCAAGTTCACGAGGAATTTTAAGCATTCTTAATTTTAATTTTCCCTAATGCTAGTAATTTTCCATTACTGTTGTACTTTTAGGTTGGAGATCGGATTGTCAGTATTAATGGGCAACCTTTGGATGGGCTGTCTCATGCAGATGCGGTTAATCTACTAAAGAATGCTTATGGGAGCATTATCCTGCAGGTATGATGATAAATTGAACATGCAGCTGCATGAGGGTAGATAAATGGCAGGCAGGAAAAAAACCAAACCCTAAGCATCACTGGCACAAGGCATCACAGCGTTGCAGGGTGCTCGCTGATGGGAATTACACAGAATGAAAGCGAGAAATAATTTTCATTCAAAAATTCTTTATTGCCACTCATACAGGCTGTGAGCACGATTATATAAAAGCGTAACAAAGAGAACAAAATAACTTGTTGCTATACATGATAAATCAACAAGCTTCCGAGTTGTTTTTTTGTTGTTTCTTTTTTTAATTTGAAATTAACGAGGAACAAGAAACGATGTGTGTGTGTGTGTGTGTACGTGTGCGTGCGTGTAACTACACTGTGGCCAAACTGCCCACGGTGTTAATTTCCTTCTTCTTGAAAGGGGTAGAAGAAAGAAATGCGGGCAGCATTTAGTAAAAACGATAGCATCATCATTAAGACAGTGCTGCCCAGAATTGATTATTCTACAGGTAATGAAAAATAACACTCGAGAGAGAAAAACAGCGTTATCACCACCATGTTTATGTGCCAGCCAAAAGGAAGGCATGTTCTGCCACTCTGATTCTAATTGCTGCTTGCCAGTGCATTCATCTTTAGTTTATTTTTATGTTTACACAAAGAAATGAGAAAAATACTTGCCGGAGAGAATTCAAAATACTACTCGTTTGCAGAATTATTGTAACAATTGGAAAAAAAAGCTTAAGACGTACCACTAAAATCTACTCTAATTTTCTTTATCGTCACGGCATATTGGACTGGAGCGCATCTTGAGAGGTTTTTGCCAGCTTCTTGTTTGCATTGCAACACAAATGTGACTATAAAAAATGGGGGGGAAGAAAAAGATTAAAAAAAAAAAAAAAAAAGAAATGAAATTATAATAAACTTAGTTTTAGACTTGCTTATTCTTTGTTTTGTTTGTCCGTGAACTGCTGACCTGGTAAGTGATGAGCCTGTTCCAGAACAGATGGTGTATTTGTGTAGTTCCATTGAAGTCAGAGGAAATACACAGATATACACCAGCTGAGGATTTTCTGTTAAATTATAGTGATCATATTGTTACTAGCGTTGAGTAATTTCACTTCTCATGTCAACAGTATTCCCTGAATAGAAAATAAAAGCTTGCTGCAGAACCCAAAATTGCTTGAAAAGCTTGAAAGCTGTAATACAGCGTATTCTACCTCATGGTGTATTTAAAAATATTCCCCACGAAGCGGGCTGGCAGTTGGTCCCTCACAGAAACAAAGAGGTTCTTCTGGAAACGTCCTTGGGGTTTGTCAGCTGATGGGTATTCCTCCCGTGTTTTTGCTTTCTGACTTTAAATGGGCTTGACACTTTTTGCAGATGATACGGGTTTGTTCTGATAGGGCAGAGTCTATTTTCCTCTCATAAAAACCTCTTCTGTGAAGGTGGGAAGTTATTTTAATACCAGCAAGCCCTGCCCTAAGTGTGGGTACCTGCCGTGCTCACCATAAGTATTGCTCCTTCACCGGATTGTTGGGTTGGTTGGTTGGTTGGTTTGGGTTGATTTTTTTTTTTTATTAAAACAATCTAAATGGAATAATCCTATCGCCGTGATAATCGTGACTGATGTGTCATTAAGTAATTCTATTTATTATCGGGTTAGACCACTTCATGGCAAACTGCTTTGAAAGGTCAGATAATTGCGTTCAGCGGTGTGGAAAGGCTTATTATCGCTCCGTCCCGGGAAGGATGGTAAAGGAGTTTGCAAATGCTGTTTGCAAATGGGAGATTAGGGTCTCGGGGGAACAATCATCCCTTTTGGCTGTTTTGATGCTTTGGTTTAATTTAATTTCTTTTCTGCAGGTGTGGTAATGAGATAAGGGGAAGCTTTTTTACAAGGTTGTTGAACTCTGATACGTTCTTACTGCCAACTGAAGATTTTGGAATATAGGTTTATTTCATTTAACAACGAAATACGACAAATAGGGGCTGGCTCTCTCTCCCCCACTACAAGGGGAAGGAAAACTTGAGGGTGTCTTTGCTGGCTGAGCCGGGTGCAGCTCCCTTGTCAGCCAGACCCCTTCATTTAGGGCATCCGAGAACCTCAGTCCTGGGATGCAAAATTTGCATGAGAAACTAATCTTCCTTCCTAGAAAATGCTGCCACCCTCTTGGCTCCCCGTGATTAGCAAGAGGGAAATCTTGTGGTGGAAGAATTGTGAGCATTCATTTAAAACCAGGGATTTATATAATGGATTTATTTTTTTAGTTCAAAAAGGTGCGTTTCCCTTAAGCCATGCTCACAGCAAGGACTGGAAAAAGTACCTGTTAATTTTGATAAAATAAGGCTGTATAGATAGCTAGAGGAAATATTGAAAATGTATTTACTGAGTATTTCTCACTTTCTCTGAGCCGAGCTTCTGCACTGTACCCTAAGCACCAGGCAGAGGAGAATGTCTCATCCCAAGGAGATGGAGTTAGGGGATAACCACGGCACGGAGTCGATAGGAAATTAATGTCCTTTCAGCTGTAAATACTTCAAATCCAAAACACTTCCTAGTAGTTTCCTCGATTTTTTTTCCAGAAAAAGCGAAGAATAGAAAATGGGCATGGAATGAAAGGTTAAGAAAAAAGCTGAAGTGGGCATTGGCATTTCATTTTTAATAAAATGAAATGGGCAGTGGGCCTGCAAGCTGCAGGCTTTCCTTCTTCTCAGACCAGGCCCCCGTGAACAGCAAACCCCAGACCCTCGTGGTCAAGTAGCTCTTCTCCCAGGACAGCCATAGCTGGCTTTGTACCTCACCCACACAACATGGAGATGAGGCCTTAAAAAGCCTGAGAGAGTTTGCTGCCCCACAGCTTGTCAAAATGTCATTAACTCTGTTAATTACTGCATGGCGGCAATTCGTGAGGGTTTCAGAACAACACAGGGGCCAGAATTGGAAAGTTTAGGAATCCAGTTGGTGAGATTCGTGCTGGAAATTGCGGAAAAGTTGAAACCAAGGATTAATTTCTGTCCTGCTCAGCAAACAAACCAGTCTGAGGTGTTTCAGGGCTGTAATCCCTTGGATCTCTGTGGGAAACCTTTACTTTCAAACCCAGTCCTGGACACCTTGTGTTGGCTCTGAGATGTGCCTATTTCCTTGACAAAGTAGCATTTTTCTCTGGATTGTCCAGAAGAACTGTCCCCCTCTGCTCAGCATCTGAGTAAAGGCAAGAGAAAGCTTCAGAGCAAAGTTTGCATGGTGGCTGCTATTAACTCTGTTATTTGAAAGTATTGAATTAATTTAAGACCATTAAGATACATTAAGATCATTTAAGAGAGTAGGACTTTTATTTGAAATTTGCTTGAAAAAAAAAAACCATCAACAATTGATTTTCCTAATGTATCAGCTGCTTTCTACATAATTAGCCAAGGTGGTTTTGGTATTAAGTGAACAGACAGGGTATTTCATTGCATCTTTCTGTATAGGTTGTGGCTGATACCAACATCAGTGCCATTGCCACCCAGCTGGAGAGCATGTCTGTGGGGTGCAACCTCAACTCTTCTGCTGAGCATCCTTCTGAAGATCCTGAGTAAGTTTGTACTGGCTCCGCGTGACAGAGGTGGATTCCTATGCCCCGTGCAAGGGAAAAGCCCAGGGTGGGGAAGGAGGTCTCTCCCACTGCCTTTCTCTCTAATTTTCCATCACCTTTAAAATGAAAACTGTGACCTTCTCCAAGCTGATTATGAACTTGTGACCATCTTCACCTGCTGATCTGTATAGGTTGTGGCTGATACCAACATCAGTGCCATTGCCACCCAGCTGGAGAGCATGTCTGCGGGGTGCAACCTCAACTCTTCTGCTGAGCATCCTTCTGAAGATCCTGAGTAAGTTTGTACTGGCTCCGCGTGACAGAGGTGGATTCCTATGCCCCGTGCAAGGGAAAAGCCCAGGGTGGGGAAGGAGGTCTCTCCCACTGCCTTTCTCTCTAATTTTCCATCACCTTTAAAATGAAAACTGTGACCTTCTCCAAGCTGAATATGGACTTGTGACCATCTTCACCTGCTGACAGAAATTGCTTGGGTAAATAAGCACAAAATGTGTTTCCAAGCACTAGTTCTGGACATTTTTCAAAAACACTTATCTCCTTTCTTTTCTGATGCCTTATGCTCTTGTCTCTGGGCTTCTTTGCCCGAAAGGAGTTATGATCGTAGCAATTTTAAATAATTCATTGTTGCCAGACTAAGGCAGGAGGCTTAAAAAGCCTGGTATCAGAGGTGAATATTTCAGAACACATCCCAGAACTTTCTTAGTCTCTTAAATCTTTTCAGCTTTACAATCTGAAAAAGTCTGATTAAAAAATTGTCTACTTACAGCATTTTTTAATGGTGATGGAAGTTAGAGATCTAGCCCTCCCATGGCCCTGCGTCATTCTCCATCGTGTGCTTTTTAGGGCAGCTCATAGCATCCCAGTTCTAATTTTGAAATTCATTTTGTCTTCATTTTCGTTCATTAGCTTCATTATGTTCTTCATTTTCATTCTTTGATTCATTCTATTTATCTTAAGAAGCTGAGATGCAAGTTGCTGCCCTGCCTCAGGGGTTTTTGAGTATAAAAGTTAAGCTTTTTGTGCTGCATTCTCTAGTCTGACAATGTGAGATACTGCTTTTATTGCTGCTCTCAAAGGAAAATTGCTTACTTCACAAAAGGGTTTGTATTCTCTTTTCATATCAAAATAGTAAGGAAATTTGAATGTGAAAATATGAATTGGAATTAGGTAGGGGTATGAATTTGTTCTGTCCTAGAGAATTGGCTAGATATTGGTCACCATTGGCTACACCCTTATATAGGTGGAAGATGCCAAACAGCTTTTGTCCACAATAGTTCTTCCTAAATACATAGAAATGACTTTTTCAAATTTGAGATGGAGATACATACATAGATATATATATATATTTATATGAGTGGTCTAAATTCCATCAAAACTCTTCCTGTGCTCAGTGCAGGCAGCAAAACCCCCTGGAGAGAGTTCAGGCTCTGAGTGAGGAGCTCTCAGGACCCAGCCTGGGGTTCCGAGGAGCAGGGTTGTAGGTCAAGTACAGGCTGTTAGAAAACAGCCCAAAGAGCCTGCAGTAGAGCCCAGACTGGAATAGACACGAGTCTATTAGACTCGTTCCTCCGAAGTCATAAAGTAAAATGCTGTAAGAAAATCCTTGCAGTTGCCACTTAATGCAGACAAAAGGCACCAGCTTGGCCAGGAGGGAAGCAAACTCTCCTTTACCTACGTGCAGCGACTGCTGATGAAGGGAGTCCAACTTCTGCATCACAGACGGGTGCTCTTGTTGAGCTCTTATTAAAAATAAGTATTTTCAAAGTGAGGAACTGAAGTTTAGGGAGCAGCATTTGGACTCCAGGGCTGCACGGCAGCGTATTTTAGCGCCAGGACAAGAGTCATGGTTTGTGACTGTGTGAAACACTTCTTGATAGATAGATCTCTCTGTAAGTGTTGCTTCTGCATAAAGTCCCCAGAGACAGATGTTGCTATTCTAAGTGATATTTATTGTGTTTTCAGAGCACCTCAGCCTAAGATAATTACTTTGGAGAAAGGCTCTGATGGACTGGGATTTAGTATTGTAGGGGGGTATGGAAGTCCCCATGGAGACCTGCCCATTTATGTCAAGACTATATTTGCCAAGGTATCTTTTTTTGTTTGTTTGTTTTCTCCCTTCTTCTGTAATAATCTTTAAAAATAGACCTAAGATTTGGCTTGTGTTATATATTATGTAGTAGAAAGCAAAGTATACTAAATACATTGATGTGAGTGAGTGGACCCAGAGCTCTCAGCCGCCTTCTCCGTTTAAATTTCATATTACTGATGGCTGAAACAAGATACTTTATCTCAGAAAAACTGCTCTGTGTACTTGGGAAACTTGGTTTTTTATGTATTAAAATATTTACAGGGCAGTTTTCTATCTGTAAATCTCAGAGAGCCTTCCGGGAGGTGTGGAGGCATCACTTTTCCCACTGTACAGGAGAGGAGGTGGTTGCAGAGATGCTGGGTCTTTGTGGTGGAGCTTCAGCTGCCAAACCAGCAACGAGCTCCTGTGTCCCCTCAGCAAGAAAATCATCCCCTCATGGTCCCCTCAGCAAGAAAAAACACTGAAAGGCAAAAAGGCCATACCCTGTGGCTTGATAATGAATTGGCTTATGCATCAGTTCTGGCTTTACTTACTGTCCCTTGCTTCCAGCTTCTCTCTCATGCCTCTCCCCGGGTGCTCCTCTCCCACTCACTGCCTCAGCCCATCTCTGACCCCAACCCAGAGTCTCAAGGGGGGAGGACTTGGGGGTCCCAGCAATGGGTCCGGCCACCAGGGCTGAGGAGGAAAGGCAAACAGCCCCAGGATGGCCACTGGTGTGGAGGGAGAAGTGCCCCTTGCAAGCCAGCAAGATACCTCAGGCATGGACCCATGAAGGGAGATCTGGAAATGGGGAAGAGAAAAGGGGAAAAGTGGGAATTAGGGATACTTTCCATAAAGTAACTTCCAAGTCAGTCACACAGTTGCTTCTGGCAGAGTAGGTAATATAATTAAGAAAACTTCATCTTAAGGTGGAGTAGAAGTCATGTCCCCTCTGCTTCTGTGATTCTGGGGCTCAAACCACAAATATCTGGGGTTTTTTTACATTTTTCAGTAATTAACATGGGAATATATTGTGTCTTTAAACTGATGCTTGGATTTACAAGTTTCTAGATGTGGGCACAGCTGAAAAAATCTAAAGTGAAGCTAGAATACACTGGTGGGGCCATGGAGCAGAAGTGGACACCATGAGGTGACCTCTGGGCAGGGCAGGGCTCATGATTGAGACAAAAGAGCTGGACTGGGGCCTCTGGAGGAGAACAGCCATTTCCGAAGCTCTGTAGGAGCTTCTCAGGACCTTCACTGGAGCCCAGCTCCATCTGGGGCTTGGGGCTCTTTTGCATGAGCTCTGCGTCCTTCTCCCTCCCCACATTTTAATCCGTTTCCCAGTGCTGGGTGTGAGGTACAATTAAATGCTGCTTTAACAAGCCTCTGCCTAATCAGAAAAGCCAGGAGCAGTCTTTACACTGATGTTTTTTTGAGGGACAAGCCAATTCTCCTCTTCCCAGGGGTTCCCTGAGCCCTGCAGGGTTGGGGAAGCAGGGTGAGCAACGGCCAATCGTTCCAAGTACCCGGGGAGAAGTCACCATGGCCATTTCCCATGTTCCCCACCCAGTTACGGTGGGATTCCCCCGTGCTGCATCCCTCCTCATCCCATCCCATCAGCATCGGGGGGGTGGTGAGACCCTGGAACAGGTTGCCCAGAGAAGCTGTGGCTGCCCCATCCCTGGAGGGGTTCAAGGCCAGGTTGGAGGGGGCTTGGAGCAACCTGGTCTGGTGGGAGGTGTCCCTGCCCAGGGCAGGGGGTGGCACTGGGAGGGTTTTAAGGTCCTTTCCAATCCAAACTGTTCCATGATTCTGGATTCTGAGGGGCGGGAGGGCTGCCAGACGCTAAGGAAGTGCTTTGCCTTTTTCAGGGAGCAGCTGCGGACGACGGGCGACTGAAGCGGGGTGACCAGATCTTAGCAGTGAACGGGGAGGCCTTGGAAGGAGTCACCCACGAGCAGGCCGTGGCCATCCTGAAGCGCCAGAAAGGAACTGTCACATTAACGGTGTTGTCGTGAAACCCTCATCGCGCTCGCGGAGATAAATGCCATTATTTTAGAACATCAGTAGAGCTCTAATAACGCTGTCCAGCCCTCAGCAGGATGGAAAGCAAAGCCTGGCAGAAATGACTCGGTGTTCACCCTGTTGCCAGGAAGGGGTAGTGCCCGTCTCCAGCTTCATTTAGCCTTCCACATTTATCAGCCCTTCTCCCCGCCCTCCCCTCCTCCCGGTGGCTTTTTGAGGTTTCTCTGGACAAGTTCAATTAAGAATCGTCAAAGAACAACATCCATTTTTGCTTTATTTATACATCAGTCTATCCCCGCTACTCCGAACCCCTGTTATAAGCTGCTGAACCTGGAATCAGTTCGCACACAAAAGAGAATTTAGATCATCAACCGATCTCATCTGATGAGCAGAAATAAATGCTGAGTGACTTGTCATCTCACTCATGATTTACTTATGCTAATTGTCCTTTCAAGTATGCCAGAAAACATTAGCAATGTAATTAAATTACCACTGTTCCAAATGATGAAATATCAAATTCTCCTCTGGGAAATTATTTGTGCTCGGCACAGTAAGTCTGATAGTCAAATGTGAACTTCTCATGTTTATCTCTTTGGGTAGGTCTATGGAAGTTAGTCAGAGGTAATTACTGTGATGTGTCAATTTGCAGCCTTTAGCATGAAAAATAAACTAGGGGAGAGGGAAATTTATCTTTTTGGGCTTTTAAAACGTTTGAGCCTTTTCAGATATTTAGGCAGCATGAACAACAACGACGTATCTCCTTCTATTCTAATTATATTTTTAAAGAAGAAGAAATGAGCTGGTATCTGCCAGGCGTGGCGCACACAAAGGGGTTGCTGCCGTGCCAAGTCGCAGCGTAATTGTCCATCCTGAAACTTTAATGAAGACAAAAGTTTGCCTGGGCAATGTGATCCCATAATCCCAGGAGAGATGAAGTTAATCCAAACCAGCCAAAAAAAACCCTTTTGAGTTTCCAAGAGTCTCCCCGGGATCGTGCAGGAGGAGGCTTTCACGGATCACAGAGGATGCTTCTCTCCCGGGGCTGCTGGAGTCCAATTTTGGATAATACCAAGTAATACCAGGCTGGGGTGAGACGATCGCTGCAGAAGACTTCTCGGGGCAGTTTAAGATGATGTTCTCCTGGGGCTGGTTGCCATGGGCTTCCAGGATGGAGCGTGGGCTTCCTCAGCCCTCTCTGATGAGGCAAACAGCTCAGTCAAAGCAACCAACTATTTTTTGGGTTTAGCAAAGCCAGGAGAGACCCTGCTGAAGCCCATCCCAGGCGAGAACGTGCTGAAGCTCCACCAGGAGCCTTCCCAAGGCCTGTCCCGCTCTGCCTGGTGGAGGTGGGAAGTGAGAACATTCAGCAGCCAAAAATTAGCCACTTGGTTCTGTGTCGCAGCCATTCCTGCAGTGATTGTATGGCCATAGCCTGGCTGATTTAGCAAATGAATTTGGCAGGCAGATTAATGGCAGCGCAGGCCATTGTGGTGTGATCTTCCCATCCAGAGGAGCAGTAGGGTTTTAGAGGAAGCAGCCCAGTCTGATCTGGATTGTTTGGTATCATTTATAATGATGATGTTCCTGGGAGAAATGAAAGGGGGTTTGGGGGGGGTCAGAATTGGCTGCTCATTTAATGTGAAAAATGCCTGGAATGAAATGGAAAGAAATTTTGAAATCTGTAATGTGATAACTGAGTAGTACAGGGTCGGTGGTAAAATCATTGTGTGGTTTAGAGTGGGTATTCCCTATTTTCCTTAAAAAAAAAACAGGTATTGACTCGAGATGAGTGACGCTGAGACAAGCCAGCCGTGAGTAGCTCTCATTGAAAGGGTTTCTTGATTTCATTGGAAAGTTTTTTCTTTAAATGTAGATAATCACAAAGTGCATTTAGCCTGCTGGAACCGTTAGTGGGTGTTGTGACTGCAGTGCCTGGGAGAGACTTCACCTTTTCAGTGGGTTCCCTCTGTAGGGTTTGATTTGCCAAGTGAAGCGTTAGAGGAACCTTGATTGTAGATGCACAGAGAGATGCCCAGATGTAGCAAATCGGAGAATTTTTAACAAACTTTAACATTTTTTTTTGATTGCAGAAGTACCCAAGGTATGAGGAAGTTAAAGGCAGGGAGGCGAAACGCAAAGAGGTACCCTTAAAAATATTATATAGAATTTATCAACAAAATGTAATGATTCATCTGATGGCGGTTTTATACCCGTTGTGTTCCTACTTTAAGATGTTGCCACATTTAATCTCTAAAGTTTCCCAGTTTATCAGCCTATTGTGCACATACTGTTCATATACATAAAGAGTAGAATTTATGGGCTGAGATATTTTGCACTTCTCATTGCTCTGAATGACAGAGAACATTTTCTGCTTCTTGTAATTTGCACTTTGCGTGTTGAATATATTACTGCCAAAAATTGTGTTGCCACTAATTGATAGCCCAGTGCCCGTGTGGGGCAGCGTGTGCTGTATGTACAGGACCAAGTCAGATAATTAAATTTGCATTACGCTTCTCTGGGTGGAGGTGTTCTGGTTTGTTTATAACTTTATTTCTGTGCAAGGGAAAAAAAAGCAATTAAACCTCCTGATTGTATGTTTACATATATCAGTAAAATGAGACATTTTATGACTTCAAAGATTCTAAATAAAGCTCAGTTACAAAAGTAGTTTTGCAGTTATTTATTTTTTAATTCTCTGTTGAAATGTACTGTGTGAGTTGTCTGTTTTCTCTTCCAAGGAGGGCTTGTGATGGCCCTGTTCGGGCAGCAGGAGTGGTAGAAGGCTGTGGTGGCAGTCAGTTGTGGTGACAGTTGGCCATGGTGACAGCTGGCAGAGGTTCTGTGCCCAGGCAGTGGGGTTGCCCCCAAGTGAGACAGCCACAGGGAGCCCTCCCGTCCACATCTGCCTCCCTCAGGAAGCTGTAGGTGCCCATCCAGATGGCTCGAGCCTGGTAAGTAGATCTCAATCAGGGCGACACCAACAGAAACAGCTCAGTGAGAAACCAAGGAGCTGGTGCACAAGTAGAAAAATTGAGGGAGAGAAAAAAGGAGATGAAGACAAAGGCACTGAGTGACCAGTATTGTACCGGGAGTAATCAATGTCAGCACGAAGCCTGCTTGCAGGAGGAGCATCCATGCTGTAGGCATCTCACAACGCTTTGGAGGTGCCACTCACCACCATTTGAGCTTGTATGTACTAGTGGGAAAGGTTGGTTTAAGGACTCAGCTGTCAGAACCTGTTCTTTTTGTAGGGCCACGTGGTGTTTGCAGTCCCTCCATCAGCTTCCTCGCCCAGAAGACCTGGAATAACCTCCAGTTTGTGGTGACACCATCAAGGACATCCTTGACATTCCCAGGGCTGTCTGCAAAGGACCAGTCAACGCCAACGTTTGCACTTCTTCCAGAGGCTGGGATCGAGGTACTGTAAGTTCTTGTGTCCTCCCCACCACGTGGGCTTGCTGGGGGACAACGTCTGTCCTGGCACCGTCCCCACTGCTGAGCACTGGGCTTCAGGAGCACCCAGATGGTGGTGGGGCAGCAAGGTGGACCTTGGCAACTGAGGGTGGGATGGTGTGGAGAGCAGGGCAGCCCAGAGGGATGCAGGGACTCTGTCACCGTGCACTGCTGCTTCAGGAATCGCCGTAATGCCTCTAAATTCCCTGTAATTAATCAAACGGCGATTACCACCCTGGAAGTATGACATGGGGAGAGCTTGTTGAGGTGATATGATTATGCTGAGATGGAGCAGTTAATGTACCTTCACCTGAAAGAACTGGAATGAATTAATTTAACGTTACAGATGTATAAAACATTAGTTTTTACAGTTGTGCTGAGCATTGAAATATAATTCCATTATCGTCTTTCTCCACGGTTTCACACTCCTACACCCCTAATGGCTCTGTATTTACATCCTGGTTAAACGTCGTTGTTTTCCCTTTCAGCAGCGATGGACGTGTTGGTCTCTAACACGCACGCTCCTGTGATCACCCTGACCTTTTTGGGTGGCAACAAATTGAAGATCCATGTCCTCCAGCATCCCCAATGGAAGAAGAACGAGGATGGCTCTGGCTTTGCCTCCAGTCTTGCCCCGGTGGGCTCCGAGGTTGCCGCTGCCGTGGGATTGAGGTAGAATTTATTCCCCATTCCCACACGAAATGGAAAATTTGTGGTGGCAGCATCAAAACCTCTTCATTCCCGATAGCGCAGCCCCTGCTGTGGGTGCTCTCCTTCCAACTGCTCAGGTAAAATTAAAAATCACATCCTAATTGAAGTGTCTGTACCAATTAAACCCACATTCTCACCAGATCTGTGAGCGCAGAGGAGGGCAACGAAGCTGGTGAAGGGCCTGGAAAACAAATCATGTGAGGAGCCGTTGAAGGAGCTGGGACTGTTTAGTTTGAGGAAGAGGAGGCTGAGGGGAGACCTCATCACTCTCTACAGCTACTTGAAAGGACACTGTAGAGAGGTTGGTGCTGGTCTCTTCTCACAGATAATTAGTGACAGAACGAGAGGGAAAGGCTCCAAGCTCCAACAGGGTAGGTTTAGATTGAACATTAGGAAAGAATTTTTCACAGAAAGAGTGGTCAGACACTGGAATAGGCTGCCCAGGGAGGGGGGTGAGTCACCATCCCTGGATGTGGTTAGGAGTTGTTTAGATGTGGTGTTGGGGGATATGGTGTAGGGGAGGACTTTGTAGAGTAGGGTAGATGGTTGGACTCGATGATCCCAAGGGTCTCTTCCAACCTAGACAGTTCTATGATTCTATGATCTTCTCCTGTGCTCCCCCCCAGGATGCCCAGGGCAGGGCCTGGACCGCCTGAGCTCCCATTTTCCTTCCCACCACGTCCCAGGAAATGGGTTTTCTCTCCAGTTTAATTCCCCCACCCCAGATTTTCCCTGCACGGGTCACACAGGCTGGGGGTACGTGGTCCTGGGTCTTTGGGTGACGCCTGGGTCCTGGTGGCAGGTTGGCAGCTGGTCCTCATCTCCTCCACGGCTGGAGCCCACCCTGCCAGGGTTCTGAAATCCACTCTGACCTCACACACCTGGGGCCAGGAGCCTTTGCTTCATTTCTCCCATCTTCCCCAAAATGGGACTAGAAACTCTTACAGGGAAATATCTGCCCTCGGAAACGTCATCGTCGCTGTGAGTGTTTTCAGACATTAAGAAATCACTTTGTACTTTTGTTACCCTTTTGTTACCCTCCTTCTCATCCCACCCAGCAGCGGCACCGGGAGGCAGCACGTTCCTGAGCCCCTTGTGCTGCCATCAGCTGATGGATGTCACCAGAGCTGGGCCAGGGGATGTCACCAGTGCTGGATCAGGGCCAGGACCTGGAGCATCCTCACAGAGCAGCCACAGCCACCAGCCAGAAAAGCTGCTCTGGCCCCAGCGGCTGCACTGACTCCCACAGCTTTTTCTGCTGAAATGGCACTAGATGGAGCAATTGACAAAATATTGTATTTCTGTTGCTTTCAGCCCAGGCCTGGTGGCCCTGCCAGAGAGGCTGTCCCAAGGGATGCTTGGAGCGTGTTCCATCTTCTCAGTCCAGACCAGGAAAAGCCAAATTCCCAACGCTCTGAGCTGGCTTTTTCCCCTGCAAACAGGTAGGTGCTGTGAAAAGGAGAGAGCTGGGTACTATGAGAGAGAGAGAGAGCTTTCTAGGAAATGTAATCCCAGCCCCGTGATAACTGTCCTCTGTCCCTGGTGAACGTGGGGCTGAGTGGTGCCTCCACACGAGCCGTGGGGACGGGATGGGGTGCCGGGGGGTGAACTGAGCCCAGCAGACCCCAAAGCAGAGGTGCTGTGGTTGCTTCTGCAGCAGCCCATTCCCCTGCAGCAAATAACTCTGCCTTTGCTGCCCAGGCATTTGTCTGGGAACAGCCCGTTAGTTTAATTAACCAGGCTGGCTGTGTTCAGCAGTTGCATGGGGCTCTGTGTGTGCATGGGGCTGGAGGTGATCTGCTCCCTCCTGGTGCTTTGAACGTGGCCACAGCCCCATTTTGGGGGCTGATGGATGTTTCTCGCCCTGCTCTCCCCATTCTCCCCCCCCCCCCCGGGGGGAGCAGGGTCCCCCCCTGCGCCGTGGGCTGAGGATATTTACAACAGGAGCAACGAGTTACCCTTGAACCACAGCAAAGTGACACACTTTCAGTAGCCTGGACAACACCAGTGAATTACTGCAAGTATTTCATCCCCTTCTCTGCACTGTTTGATGTTCTCAGGCCGATGCTGTGGAACCATCTGCACCCCCTGCACCCTGTTTTGCTGTTATTTTTCCCTGGGGGGGTCTATCCCCCCTCGCAGGAGCCCCGTGGTGGCTTCACCACCCCCTCCCCAGCGGTGGCACCGAGCACAAGGCAGCCCTTTGTCCGGGGCTGCCGGATCTCAGGGACCGCGCGTTTCGCCACGGACCCGGCGCTTTCATTCCTGGCATTTCTTACAGCTGATGTCAGGAGGGTGCGGGGGCGGCCGCGGGGGCCCTCCTGCTCCGGGGTGGGGGGCACAGCTTGGCCACATCTCCATGTGTTCCCCCCTGCCTAAAATTTCTGGGTATTGTCTTTCCCTGGTGCTCACGGGGAGGCGTCGCTCCCGAGTGGTGGGAGGAAGGACTCGGGATCATCTGGTTTTCAGCAGGGCTTTGGGGGAGCCACCGGCTGTTTCCTTTGTGTGTTGTCTCTGGAGGGGGCAGTGACACCAAACCAGGTGCAGAAGGCACTGGCTGGGGCAAGAGGGTCTCATGTGGCTCTGGACGGGTCCAGGGCACAGCTTGGGGCAAAGCTGGGCCTGGGTGTTCATCTGGTTGCTTCAAAACCAGTTTTTGTTGTGGAGCTGGAGCCTGTCAGGTGCGGGTGAGGTCTCCAAGCATGGATCATAGAATGGTTTAGGCTGGAAGGGACCTTTAGAGGTTGTTTAGTCCAACCCCCAACCTCAGTCAGGTTGCTCGGAGCCCCATCCAACCTGATTTGGGGTGTTTCCAGGCATCCAAAGTCCCCTTCTCCTCAGGATGGACCTTGGGTGGAGTTGGCTGTCATTCTGTCTCCCCTTTGGCACCACCATCCCCCTCCTGCCACCAAAGCACTCCGTGTCCAGCATCATGTTCGGGCAATCCCAGCATCCCCAGGGACATCCGACAGGCTCATGTGGGTTGGGGGACAATACCTGGGTGGCAGAGGGCTTTCTCTGGAGGTTATCAGTAAATTAGGGAGAAAAAAACAGAGAATCACTGGAAATTCATCCCTTTTTCAGCCCCGTTATGAATGCTGAGGGCCACGCAGAGCGACGTGGTGCCCCATGACCATGGAGGTGCTTCGGATGAGCCCATCGGAGTCCCCACTCCCCTCCTTGCAGCACAAGAAAGGGACACACGAGAAATGGCCATAAGGAGAGTGGAAAAATCACATTGAGCGGAGTTTCTCATCATCCTTCAGAGCTTCTCAGCTCCTCGATGGTGAGCCCATAAAGATCATTAGATTAATTTCTTTTCTCGCTGTGACTTAATTGTCTCCATTTGTGTTGTGCAGCGCTCGCGCTGGGGATGTATTTTTGCTTGCCTATATTTAGTTTGATCTCTAGTGTGATATTGAAATATATAAATTACAGCTGGCTCTCGGCACCGAGATCCCACAGCAGATTCTCTGTCTGTTCTTTGCCAGTGGGTACTGGGACAGCCTGATGCTGGCACTGGGAGATGCTGAGGGCAACCTCCAACCCTCCACGGTCCCTCAGGGTCCACATGAGGGGAGGAACTGCTCCGGGGGTGGAGGGGGAGTCACCCCGTGGGAGCTGCTCCTCCCTGGGGAGATGGTTTGAGGGGAAAAGAGGAAATAGGAGACAAAGGAATGAAAATAAACATGCTGTGGCTGTGGTGGGGACGGGAACGCCGGGGAAAGGGGGATGCGGAGGGAAGGCAGCTGCAGCACGTCCCCAAAATAGCGTGCCCTGTCCCCAAACCGCGCGGCGGGGAGCTCGGTACCCCGCGGGATCCCGCAGGCAGGAGGAGGCCGGCGCTTCCCAAAGCCCCCCCCAGCCTCAGCAGAGTCTCCCACATTTATTATGTGGGAGGCAGAAAGTTCAGCTCCCTCTGGGGAGCAGCGAGAGGCAGAGGGAAATTCCTCTCCGCGAGCCTGGCTCCAGAGCTGCCGGGAAGAAAAACCTCAGTGAAAAATTGTCACAAAATGATCTTGTGGCTGTTTTTTGTTTGCAGCTGGGGCCTGGAGGCCACGCAATGGGTGCTCAGGCTGACTTCAGGAGCTGGGTGCCCAGGAATGCAAATTGGGGTGATTCCTGGAAAAAAAAAACCCACCTCATCCTGAACGTGTGGTGATCCGGGGCCCCAGGACCTCCTGGAGGATGTCACTGGTCTGAAGAAACACCTCAAAAATGGCTGATTTAACAACATGCACGTACCTGCAGTCACCACGGGCTCTCCTTCCCTGCCCTGCTGTCTGTCTGTCTGTCTGTCTGTCTGCTGGAGCATCCCTGCTGCCTGGCGCCAGGAGAACAGGCACGGGAGCAAACGCCGGTCAAGGTCTCACTCAAGTTTATTTATACAGGAAGGAGGTAACTCCATTTTGGGACAGAGTTAAAAAAAAAAAACAACAAAAAAGCAGCAGACATTTGAGCTGGCGAGGGCTTCCCAATAAACACATGAAGAAAGGAAAGAAACTGGAGCAGACAGCAGATTCCCATGGAAAAGAGAAGGCAGGAGCTGCCCTCCTCTCCTTGCAAGGAGGACAGGGGCTCTTGGAAGGGCTTTGCCCTCATTGCAAACATGAAGGAAGGGGAAAGGGCAGGTCAGGAGAGACTCATCACGATGTGAATTGACTCACAACCAACCAAAGTAGTCCAAGGTTAACTTCTGCTCAGTAACAAACAAAGAAAAGCAATTAGCTAATTAGGGAGACTTGCTTTTAGTGATGGCAAGTAGCTCTGGGTTTAAGATGTACTGCCCCAGCTCAACTGGTGACGGCCTCCAGGTCCATGAAAGCCTCCAGAGATGCAGGCTGAAATGGCAGAAATGGCATTTCTTGGTGCACCACAACCTAATAACAGTGTAAAGAAGAATGGAAAAGCGGGACCTAAGCCCTCCCTCCCTCTTTGTCAGCAGCAGAGGGATTTAAGAGAAAAAAAACTCTGCCGTGTGTATGACTTGAGATGATGCTGTGGGTGCCCCATGGTGGGGGAGGCCCTGGCACCGGCCAAGTCCAGCAGCTCAGTCATGGCATGGCTTTACATGGGAGTAATTTGGGCACCTGAAAAGTGGAGCAGGAGGGGAAGGGGAGAGCAGGTACCTGCCCAAAAGGCATCTGTCAGCAAAGTCGCTCCAGGAAACTCTCAGACAACGTTAACCCATCCTGGGATGGGAAGCTGTTGTCATCTCCTGGTGCCGTGCTCGGGAGAACCTGGTCCTCGCCGCTGCGCCTGAGCATCGTACGTGCGGATGCTCGGTGCATGTCAATGGGCTGCGCTTCCCCGTTAGCTCAAACTTAATTAGGAAAAAATAAGAGCCATATGGCAATTCCAAATAGAGGCAAAACAATGTCTGTGTGTTTGGGTCTGGTATACTCAAATATTTTCCTACAGCGTTAATTTTTAATTCTTACATCAGACCCACATAAGCAAACATAAATAGGATTTTATACTTCAGATAATCCATCCAGCTTGTGTTTGTTGTTACATTTACTGAATAGTCCCCGCCTGCTGCTACGTACAGAAGAGCTAATAATAAATATTAGGACACACACTTACAAGTTAAATGAGCTACAGTTTAGTCGATTAAAAGGACAACCATAACCTAAGGTTACAAAAGACTAAGTATTGCTTTTCTAATGTGCTTTTTCTCCCTCGTTTCGGTCACTCACCTCCCAAATCCGTAGGAGGATGAGGAGAGCTCGGAGTCATTTGTGGCAATGTGCATAGATTAGGGGGGCGTAAGCAGGCTTAATGAGGAGAATGGGAAATGTATGCAGATAATGATGGGGTTCATCCCCCCGGGACGTAGGGAAACCCACAGTATTGGCCCCGGCCACCGAGTGGGTGGTGACACCAAGGAAGGAGCTGTTTGTTCCTCCTCCCCGCTGGGTCACGCCGAGAGGGATGGGCTCTGCTCGGCGTGGGCTCGCAGGAGCGCGGCGATGTCCCCGTGGGCCAGTGACAGAGCTGAGTTACCACCCTGTGGGGAGGGAGGAGGCAAAGATGTTACCCCCCAAATCCCTGCATCTCACCCCGGCCATCCTCGTAATATACCCAGCCCCAGCCCCAACCATCTCCACCTCTTGGCCCCACCACCACCAAGGGAGGCTGTTGACAATCTACCCCCTGGAATCACAGAATCTTAGTGGTTGGAAGGGACCTCTGAGATCATAGAGTCCAACCACAAAAAAAAAAAAAAAAAAAAACAAAAACCAAAACACCACACCATACCAAACGCCCACCAAAAACACCGCACCCACCAACTAAACCCCACACTCAACACCTCGCCATAAACCAATAACCTTGGGCACTAGAGCATGCCCTGAAGAGCCATGTCTATACGTTTCTTAAATACCTCCAGGGATGGTGACTCCACCACCTCCCTGGGCAGGCTGTTCCAGTGCCTGACCACCCTCTCAGTAAAGTAGTTCTTCCTAATATCTAATCTAAATCTCCCTTGCTGCAACTTCAGACCATTTCCTCTTGAGGCCTCACCAGTGCCCAGTACAGAGGCACGATGACTTCCCTACTCCTGCTGGCCACGCTATTCTTGATACGAGCCAGGATGCCATTGGCCCTCTTGGCCACCTGGGCACACTGCTGGCTCATGTTAAGCCTGCTGTCTACCAACACCCCCAGGTCCTTTTCTTCCGGGCAGCTTTCCAGCCACTCTTCCCCAAGTCTGTAGCGTTGCCTGGGGTTGTTGTGACCAAAATGCAGGACCCGGCACTTGGCCTTATTAAACCTCATCCCGTTGTCCTTGGCCCATTGGAAATGAGTTCTCCTCCACTCTCCAGCGAGTGGGTGCCCAGAGCTGCTTCCCACCCAGCTATTTACCCCCAAAACCTCCTTCCCTGCAGTTCATTCCTCGTTAAAATGAGTCACCATCTTGCAAAACCCCTCAGGGTTTTTAACCTCAACTGCATAAAATGCATCCTGGCCCTGCTTTCACTCAGCCCTGGTCATGGGGACTAAGACAAGTTGTAGTTTAATTAGAAAATAGTTGCATAACTATAAAAGTTGCCACTGTGGCCTGTTGCCATGAGCCTGCATGGGAGATTCCCACCAGCCATGCAGCTCCCAGCCCCATCCCACGCGTCCCCCTCCAGAGAGGCATCCATTCCCAGGGGAGAGTTAATTGCCGTTGGTTTCCTGGAGCTGAAGCCCTGCTGATTCCAGATGTCCAGGATTTTATCTATTTTTATAGGTTTACACCGGGTTGGGCTCTTCCCTCAGTGTTCCTGCCCAGGCTATGGCTGGGATGCAGGATGCTGCCACGGCACAGCAAGCACCAAAACCAGGGGTACTCTCCTAAAAACAATCCCCTGATTAGAAAGTGGCCCAAAACTCTACTTCTTCACTTAAAAACCACCACTTGGGGATTGCTGCCCGTAAAGCATGACCCCACATGAGCTTTCCCTGCCTGGAGGTTGTGTACGTGACCAAGCCCGGTGCTGGAGCCTCACCTTGTCCGTCAGCGTGACCTGGCAGCCGGGCTGGGCCAGGAGGAGCCTGACGATGTCGGCGTTGCCGAGCCGGCAGGCCACCATCAGGGCCGTGGTCCCCTCCTCGTCCTGCAGGTTGACGTCGGCCTGGCAGGAGAGGAGGGCTCGCACCATGTCATCCCGCTCGTGGCTCACCCCCAGCATCAGGGCGGTCTGGCCTCCCTGCAACCACAGAGGGAAAGGATGAGCACCCCTCGCCCACAGCCCTGCCCCTTCACAATCTTATATATAATAATAATAATAGTCACAGAATCTTCTAGGTTGGAAGAGACCTTAAAGATCATCTTGCCCAACCGTCAACCTCACTTTGACAAAAACAGACACCCGCACAACAAACAAGGAGCACCATCACTAAACCATACCTCCCAGCACTACATCAACCTGTCTTCTGAACATCTCCAGGGATGTGGCCTCAACCACCTCCCTGGGCAGCCCATTCCAATGGCTGAGAACCCTTTCAGTGAAAAAATTTTTCCTAATATCCAGCCTGAACCTCCCCTGGTGTAACTTGAGGCCATTTCCTCTCGTCCTGTTGCCTGTGACTTGGGAGAAGAGACTGACCCCCACCTCTCTACACCCTCCTTTCAGGTAGTTGTAGAGAGCAATAAGGTCTCCCCTCAGCCTCCTCTTCTCCAGGCTGAACCCCCCCAGCTCCCTCAGCCTCTCCTCATAAGACTTATTCTCCAGACCCCTCACCATCTTTGTCGCCCTTCTCTGGACCCGCTCCAGCACCTCAATGTCTTTTTTATGGTAGGGGGCCCAAACCTGGACACAGTACTCGAGGTGGGAAATCATCATAGTGATGATGCTATTATTGCGTAAATACAGTAAGATCGCATATTATTATTGCACAGTACAGATATGATAATAATTCCTATTAATATTGCATATTATTATTATTATTAAATCACACTAGGGTTCCTCAGCAGGTATTTCAGGAGTTATCTATCTGCTCTCTTGCACTAGGCCACATGGAGGGTCTCTGCAGCAGCACAGCCAAGCTGCCAGGCTCCCAGCTGCCCCCAGAGGTCCCCCTGGACACTTGAACTTAGATCTAGACTAACTTTTACAGCTGTTTGGAAGAAGAGCTGGATGAAGGCACTGCCACCTCTGAGACCAAAACGCATGACTGATGAACAACTGCTCACCAGCAAACCCGGGGATCCCAAACCCCAGGGTCCACCCCCACACTGCTCCTCCCTGGTATCACTACTTCAGAACGTGACTTTTTAGCTCACACAAATTATTTGTGTGAAATTTTCAGCCTACCTTTTGTCTCTTCATCTGATCCAGCTCTTGTGTCCCTTCACAGGGAGCTGGTGGGTGGCCAGGCTGAAGTTGCTTTTGTAACTCTTGGGAAACGGCAACTCCAACCCAAGGTCTACCACCAAGTCTCAGCCTGGCTCTACACATGCAGTGTAGGAACCCAAATTATATTCCCCCACACCCCGAGGTCCCTACAGGAATGGGCCATAAACAGGATGCTACGAGCTCAGCAGGAGTCACTTTGCAGACGCCTTTGCCAAATTAACACCTGCTGCTGGCTGGCTGCCCTCTGCCATGCCGGGTTTACCAAGAGCAAGCAGAACCATGGGGACCCACCTGGGCAGCTCGCAGGTTGACGTCCCCCTCCTTCAGCATCTTCATCACCACCTCCATGTCCTCGCTCGTCTCGGCGGCCGCCAGCGGGGTGAGCATCACGGCCGTGTAGCCAGCGCGGTTCTGCAGGTCCAGGCGGCACACACCTGGCGGGCCATGCATGGTCCCAAGGAAGGAGTCAACCCCACGATGAACCAGGTGGAGAGAGATGAGCAAAGGGGAGGAAAAGAAGGAATTATAAAACACACAGCCTCATCTTCCCAGAAACAGGAGTTTCCATAATTACATGGGATTGAAGTTTATCTGTGCTAAATACCTAGTCTTGTCAGCACAGCATTAAAGAATATTTGGTGCTACACGTTGCTACGGTTAATTACAACTGCTGAAGTCAACTCAATTAACTTTGAAGACCATAACCAAAAAAAAAAGGGGGAGGATAACTAATGCCTTGGGTATTATAATAACGAGCCGTGTCTGACGGGCTGGGGCTCGGGTCCTTGCCCCGGGAACCCGGCCACCTCGGGCACTCAGTGGCAGGAGGGGACAAACCGCCACGGTTCCCCGCGCGCCTGCGGCAACAATCGGGTTATAGATGTGTATGATAATCTGCCATTTCCCAAACATTCAGCAGATTGTCTGGCCCATGAGAAAAGGCCAAAGTGCCTTTATTCTTGCTGAGCACGCGGGCATTTTTCCCCTGTACAAGCTCCGCTGAAATTTTTTTTTCTTTCTTTGCAACATGAGCTGAAAGTTCAATAGTTTAGAATGGAGTTTTTCTGCAGCACTGAGGGGTTTGTTGTGCTCTCAGAGGTCTGATCCTCCAGCTCTGAGCCATGATGTGGCATTTGCTGCTACAAGAAGCTGGGGGAGCCACCCATCCCACCTCAACCAGGGCCATGAGAGATACCCCCTTAGCACAGGGACCCTAAACCCTCCCCAAAGCCAGATTGCAAAGTCCTCAAGATATATCAGGGCCCTGAGGGCACTAACGAGCCTTAATGCCCCTGAGGAGCCTCAGCTGGGACCCTTGCCCACACCCATGGGCCCAGGGCTGAGCTATGGGCAAGGATGCTGGTCTTCAGATCAGCCACATCTCCTGGGTAGACCTGGGCCCTATGCTTGTCCCTGAATGGACCTTGTCCCTACACTTGTCTCTTGGATAGACCTTGGCCCCATGGTTGTCTACTGGATGGCTCCCTTGCATGTAGGTTGGAGTTGGTCCCCAATCCCACCTCTGTTCCATCTCCTTTTGTTCCTGACTGAACTCCCTGGGAGGACCCTGGAGTTCATTCACTGTTTGCCAGGTCTGGGACTGTTGATGAACCCCCATTACCTGGCTCTACACATTGTGATCATTCCCTGTGGGACTGTGCCCCATGGGCAAGAGTGACAGAAAGTAACTTCCACACCCATATCACAGAATCATAGAATCATAGAATTGCCCAGGCCGGAAGGGACCTCCAAAGGTCATCTAGTCCGACCTCCCCGCAGTCAGCAGGGACACCCCCAACTAGACCAGGTTGCCCAGGGCCTCGTCGAGCCTCTCCTTGAATATCTCCAGGGATGGGGCCTCAACCACCTCCCTGGGCAACCTGTTCCAATGCTATATATCCATGGCTAGCAGAGAGTGGCTGTTCCTACCTGTGTCTAGCAGGAGCTTTGCAATCGGGAAGTTGGAGTGGGAGACGCTGTAGTGAAGAGCCGTGTTGCCATTCCTGTCAGCCAGGTTCACCACCATCTCCAGGAGCTGGGGCTGGATGGCCCCCAGCGCCTTGAGATACACCGCGACCACCTCCGGGCTGGAAGACTTGTGGCTCGACACCCGGAACCACTCCTGGCAGACGGTGCTCAGGACTTGCCGCTGAAAACACCAAGGTCCCACCGTGACTCCTGGGGTAGTCACCCTGCAAACCAGTCACCCTCCCAGCTCCTTGCCCTGCTCCTCCTCATCCCACACTCTGGCATCACCCACCCGGTATTTAGCCTGTGGGTTTGGGATCACTGCTACAACTTATGGGGGAAAGGAATTTCCTGTGGTAATCTGAATGACTAAGCAGAGAAAGCCTTCATCTTCTTTTCATTTTTTCCCTTTTCCCTTCTTTTTGGCTATTCTAAAACTGATTCAGAGGACATCTTGTCCCCCTCACGTCCACGGGGACAGCCTGCAACATGCCCTCAGGACAATCTTACCCATCAAACATAACAGGGAGGGGGGAACTGCGTCTGAAAAGGGGTTGAAAATATCAAACATTATCTGTACCAGATGCTTGTCACTTGTGGTGCCCATTTCTGAGAGGTGCTTGCTGAGTAGCTGGCAGTCGGCAAGGAAATCTTCAGAGGGTGTGCATCTAAAGGGAAAATACTTTTGTAAATCCAGCAATCATGGGACAGAACTTGCACGAGATATTGAAACAGGAAGGAGAACATGAGGTTAAGGTCAGAATATGTCCAACACTTCTTTAAGTGCTTAACTTTTTATGGACACAAGTTGTCTCATCGATTTGACACAGATTTTAGGTACAAAGTTAAGCACTTAAACAAGTGTTGAAGTCCACAGCCCCAGGCCTGTATGGTCAACTTCAGCTTTTAAAAGAATTCTTAAAGGGGAAAAAGAAAAATCTTATTCCTAAGACTGCAAAAAACTTTACTTAGGAATTTTACTTGAGAGGGGAGAAATGAGCTAATTCTAACCAAATATGACTCACTTCATCTTTTCCATAGTCAGACGTAGGGCTTCAATCAATCCTCATTAGATTCTGTAGAATCTCAAAAAATACTTAGCTCTTTAAAGACTTTTCCTATGTCTGCAGAGGTCAGCAGCTGCCTTTCCACCGAGCAGAAGCACCGAAACCCAGCCCTGTGCAGTGCTGTGTGTTCTGTGGCTTCAGAAAGGAGATGGAAAGCACAACCTGCTTTTCTGGTTACCTGTCAGCCTTGTGCTGAGGGCAAGGTGCTGCTTCTGCTGATGGTTCCTGTGGGTCATCGTGCTCACGTCCCTCCTGCGAGGAGGTCTCCGACGAAGCCCCCTCACATTCACCTCCAGCTTTCACCTGTATGGGCTCCAAATCATCGACTCTTCTCTCCGTCTCGCTCTCCACGTCCCCATCCGATGGGCTGTCCTCACAACTGGTGTCTTCGCTGGAAGTCGTTTCGTAGCTATTTGAGGACACCACATGTTATTCACTCCTTCCCCATCCGCAGCTGCGGGCCCTGACCAAGACTCATTGAAGACACCTGCTGACTCCAATGGGCCTTGGATGAAGCCCGGAGGGATACGCATGTTAAAAGGTTAGAGCCACAGCCAGACTTGGGGTTAGTCTTTTTTTTTTTGGCTTCTTAAGGCAGCACAAGCGTGATAGAAGCAGTTAATTAGCAGCAGGCAAGGTTACTTCAGGGACTACTTGGTTGGAGGGATGTCCATCACACAAGCCCCAACGTGGCCAGGCAAGGGCTGTGAGCCCCTTCCCTGATGGGAGCTGCCAGCAGGTGGATTGGGAGCCAGGAGAAACATGGATATTGTGGCAAGGTGGGACAGGCGACGTGTCAGCAACCTTGAGGACCACTAGACAAAAACAGTTTGCAGCTCCAGCACATGGACATGAGGCCACATTCAAGCAGCCCTGCTAGAGAGATCTCTCTTCTGGTTGTCCAAAAGTATCAATAACAGTAACATCTTCCATGAAACAGAACATTTCACTCTGAGGGACCCCAAAACTTTTCTCAAACTAGTCGAGATTCCTCCACTTGCTACAAGTGGTACCCATTTCAGCGACTGTTGGCAGAAGCAGCTCTACACAACAAGAGCGAGCAACACCTGATGAACCCAACAGCAGCAGCCATGGAGCTGGGAAGTCAGAGAAGCATACGTCAGCAGAAACCAGCATCCAAACTTGCACACATGGCTGTTTGCCCAGCAAAGGGACAGTGAAACACCTCCTGCCCTCTTCACGCCAGCACACATACTCCTCAGCAGCACAACTTCTGCTGGTGCTGCTCTTCAAGATGCATCTACAGCTCACATGGTGGTATCTAGTGAGCTCAAAGGCCAAACAGTGCTAGAGACAGGACACAATGGGAACTGGTGTTGGAGCACAACCTAAAATACAGGTCTCCTTCACCCCGAGGTAATTCCTTATTGACTGAAATTGTCTTTTCTCAGTCCCTGAACTGACTTTTGTTGGCTGTCGCTGGAGCGTGGAGGCAGGTTAGTGGCAGCGTGCCCACCCAGGCAGTGCTGATCTCCTCCAAAACCCACCAAAGTCAGTGGGAACCTTCCCATGGACCCAGCTGGGTTTTGGGTGAAGCCCCAGAAGATGGGTGTGCAGAGAGTGTGAGTCCCCAGGGTGTCCCTCGCTGAGCTGAAAACACCAACCTCTTTTCTACAGGGTTACTTACGGGTTATCAGTGCTGGATTAAAGGGAGAAAAGAGGTTCCATTTCAAACGGCCTTTTAATCGAGAGGTTTGGAGGGGAAAAGAGGGGGGAAAAAAGAATGACTTCTTCAGCGATACAGAGGACATCACAGGTTAAAAGGCAGTTTTATCTTCTGAACGGATGCTTACCCACCATTTACCCCAACAAACTGAAGATTCTTTTTGGTCCCATTGCCTCCTGCATGGAAACCATAACCTTTCTTTTTCATGATAGATTTAAGACTTGTGGTTGGAGAGGTTTCTAGCAAAATACAAAATAATAGATTAATTAAGCAGATGTGCCATAATTACCAATGATTCTTCCCAATCTCTAGCAACAGACTACAAACCATAATAATAAGCACCTTAGTTCATGTTAGCAAATGTTTTTTTTACGTCTTGCAAAACTATTGATGCACCTGGCCATGATCTGAACCTCCACTGCCACCTTTAAAATACAGGTCTCAAACATCTCCCAGTGACAAGGAATATAAAGGAAGTGACTGGGAATTATACACTTGTTCTATCAATATAAGTAAGTTTCACTTTTGTAATAATGGGGTTTTAAATTTTTTTTCAATACTAATGTATTGGAAATCTCCTATATAAATCTCCTATAATACTACATGGATGAGTCCATCAGAGTTTGAATACTCTCAAACATATTGCTTATAAGTAATAGGTCACTTATCTGTTTGCAAGCCCCCCCAAGAATGAACAGGCAGCCTTTGGGTTTGGAACGCCCCGTGAGTGGGGACAGGCCTTCTCCCAGCCCAGTTGCTCAGTTTGCTTGAATTGGCTTTGGTTCTGGCGACCTTCATGCTGATTTACCCCAGATGAGCACGAGTCCCATATCCTTGCAAATTGAGATGTCCAATCCAATTAAGAAAAATTGTTATTTGACGGAATAGCCACAAGCACGGCCACTTTCGGAAGCTGACCCTGCATATAGCTGAGGCCCAGCTTTATCAGCTCCTACATGGTTTTGTTCGCTTTTTTAAATTTAAGATCATACATTTTATGATGTGAAGAGATTTGCCTTTCTCATACATGTTTAGGAGGGGCTATTTCTGATCTGACTGATACTAATTATACCACCGAGCTCCACTGCATCATCCCTGCTCAACGCTTGAATAAATGGGAAGAGATTTGGCCCGGACACGTTGACACCTCTGCCAATATTATTTACCCAACTGTTGATAGTGTGTGTTCGAATTCTCCTTATCCGCGGGCCCTTGCGTAGAGTAGGCCGACAGCAACGAGTTTAAGGAATTAACTAATTGGTTCTGGATGGAGCTGAGCTTGGAGGCTGGCTGTTTAATAGCGCTCGCTAACTCGGGGTAGCCATGCTCCAGACACAGCCACTGCTCCTGCAAAAGCTCCTGGATTTTTTTTACGTATTGGCCGATGGGGTCAACAGCAGGGAGATCCTCGTGGCCAGGGGGACCTTCCTCTTCCAGCCCATCTCGAGGTTTGGCTTCGCCAAAGCCCGCCTTGTTTTCTCCTGTGTTTGAGCCAATTCTTGTTCCTCGAGAGCCTTCTGCAGTCCCTGCGTGAGCAGTGAGGCTCTGGGTATCACAGTTATTCCTGTGGTTCTGATTGTCATCGCTGAGGTGCTCGTCAATCTTCAGCTGGGTGAAGCATGGTGCATGAAGGCCAGCCTCTGTGTCAGCTTCACCAAAATGTCCAGGTCCCTCTCCACCAACACCACCACAAGCGTATTCCAGTCCCTGATCCCTCTGAGCACCCAGCTTCATCGCCTGTGCATTCATGTTGTCTGCTCTGTGGACGTTGCATCCTATGGATTTGGTGGAGATGGGGATGTTTACGTTGATGCCTTTATCGTGGGCTTGCTTGGCCCCGGTCACCTGTGAGAGGTCGGTGTTCACCGCAGCATCGTAGCACTGCAAAGCCCCACTGCTCTGCCTGGAGGGGGGCTTGGCGTCTCCGGTGTTCTCCCGGCACAACTTCTCTTCCAGCTGAGCTTTGGAGCTGGCCAGTAACTTAATGCTCTTCTCCTTCTCCTTGATCTCATGATCCTGCCGCTCCAGCACTGCCCTGATCTGCTCAAGTTCCTCCTCCTTCTTGCTCAGTTGCTCCTCCAGAGCAGCGACCTGCTGTTTCAACGCAGAGACTGCACTGGGCTCTCCAGCATCCCCAGGCTGAGGACCACAGCTCTCCTTGTCCTCTCCAGCCAGGACATTCCCCTCCTCAGCTTCTTTCAGCACGTCTAGAGTGACTTCGCTCACGCTTAACTCCCCTTCCCCAGGGTTTGTGTTCTCCTCCACAAGCTGGAGGGTGCCCGGTGATGCTGGTTCACCCCCAGAGCGACCGCTGGTGTCGGTGGCATCACCCTCCTCACCTCCACTCTCCATCACCACCTGCAGCTGTGGCGCGACGGGATGCTGGCTCTGCCACGGGGGCTGCATCTGCACCAGCCCCGGGCTACCTCCACCGGGATGCTCCTTCTGGCCCGAGGAGACATCCTGCTCCGAGCTCATTTGCCGGGGCAGCTTTAACATGACGCCATCAGAGCCGGGGTGAAACGTGCTTTCGGAGCCACTCTGCTCGTGGCAGGGCTGGGGAGGGGGCCGGAGGGGCGAGGGCACCCGTCCGTCCCCCGGGGGGGTCTGGCCAGGTGGCAGGGCAGCTGGCATGCTGGAGGCCCGCAGGAGCTGTGGTCGCCCCCAGAGCTCCTCCTCCTGCCGCCCCAGCTCCGCCTGCCGCCGCGTCTCCGCCAGAAGGGCTCTTCTTCTGTAACTTGGCTCATCAGCCACAGGAAGGGTCAGCTCGTTGGGCAGGAGGGGACGGGGGATCTCCTCTGCCCCCAGGGACGCCTTTCGCTGAGGGAAGGAGCACGTCGCCGTCCAGCTCTTGCTGGGGGTGGACAGGCACCCGCGGGAGCCGTTCTCGGGCAGGCTGAAGTTTCGGGGCAGGGTGCTGAATTTTGGCTGCTTGGCTTTCCGGTGGATGTGAACCCTTCTGATGGTGTGGCCTTTCTCAATGTCGTCCACGTACTTCAGGAAGTCCAGGTCCAAGTGAAAGCCGTAGGGCGTCTCCACCGAGTAGGGGAGGCTGCGGGGCTGCTCCCTCTCCCCGTCGGGTTTGGGTGGCTGGTGGTTTGCTGAAACAACCCAAAGGAAAGAGACTGAATTTCACTGAATTTTTAGAGTTGGAAGGGACCATAGAGATCATCTAGTCCAACTCCCCTGCTAAAGCGGGACCTCCCAGAGCATGTCAGATCATGCCACTCAGGACTGCATCCAGGCGGGTCTTGAAAATCTCCAAAGAAGGGGACTCCACACCCTCCCTGGGCAGCCTGTTCCAGGGTTCCGTCACCCTCACCGTGAAGAAGTTTCTCCTCATATTCAAGTGGAACCCTTTATGTTCCAACTTGTGCCCATTGCCCCTCGTCCTCTCACTGGGAACCACTGAAAAGAGTCTGGTTCCCTCCTCCCTCAGCCCGCCCTTGAGATACCTGTAGGCATTAATAAGGTCTCCCCTCAGCCTTCTCTTCTCCAGACTAAAGAGTCCCAGCTCTTTCAGTCTCTCCTCATAAGGGAGATGCTCCAGTTCTTGAATCATCTTTGTAGCCCTACGCTGGACTCTTTCCAGTAGCTCCTTGTCCCTCTGGAGGCAGAGGGGAGCCCAGAACTGGAGGCAGTATTCCAGTTGTGGCCTCACCAGTGCAGAGTAGAGGGGCAGAATGACCTCCCTCAACCTACTGGCCACACAGGGTTTTGATTGGGTTTTGAAGACAACAACAAAAAAAATTAACAAGAATTATGTTTAGAGCAGGGAAAAAACAGCACTGCTTTTTCATCTCATTTTCAGGCAGGTGGGAGCTGCAGTTTGTCACTGCGAAGGCTCATGGTGAAGCTGCAACACGTGCAAAGGTCTGATCCGGTTTTTCGGAGGCGAATCAGGTAATTGTTGCACTGAGGAAGCCGAAAATTTGCTGAAATTGTGGCTCTAATTGGCAATTAAGCAAACAGCAGGTTTTGCAGGCAGAGCTACGTGTCTGCGTAAGTATAAAAAGCTGCCTGATGTGTAATAAATCCAGCTCAAAAAACAAAGGTGGAACCGATCTGTGACAATTACATTTTCCAAGGCTATTTTTTTCTTCGTTTGGTTTTTAACTTTTCGGTGGCTGTGCACGGCGAGCAGGAATATCATGGTACTATTTCATCTGCAAACTCCGGGTCAGTCTCACAAATTATTCCTTGGAAATGATAAATACTGCACCGGGCAGAGGCTGGACCCAGACAGCGGCAGCCGGGGCTGCTTTACAGAGCCGCAGCCATGCGAAACACGTGCCTCCCAAGGTGACCGGCTGCACGGCACCCAGCACGGCTCTTAATTGAGGAAAATCACCACAAAATGCATGACAAGTGTGTTTGCCCACCCAGCCCTCGCAGGCAAACCGCACCGGCTCCAGGTTTAATACAACTCCTGCAGCCCCAGGCTCCTGGCTTTATACAACTTTATACGGTCAGATCCAGGCTGCAAAAATTCATAGCCCCCCAAAATTTCAGCCTCGAGGGTGGAAATAGTTAAACCCCCGCGTGACTGCTTGTTCTCCTTTATGCAGCCAGCCCCTGAAATAAATCACTGTGGTTTGAGCTGCTTTGCACCTCTGAGCCGTGCTCTATGAGGAAGAGGAGGAGGAGGAGGAGCAGCTCGATCAGGAGAAGCCAGGTCTCACGGCTGCTCCCTCTCCCTCCATCCTGGTGCAGCACCTGCCTGGGAACCGGGAGGATGTGCCACAGCTTTGGGTGCTGCTGGGCACAGAGCAGCACCGAGATGTAGCCACCTTCCTGGTGGGAAGAGGCACGTGAAAGTCAGAGGAATTACAGAAGGAAAACATCACATAGGGATACACAGCACAGGGGGAAAGCCTGGCTGGTGGAAGCAGAGGAGATCTGTCCTGCCTACACACCGCAGAGGACAGGAGGACAAATCGGGGCTGAACTGAGAGCCCTGACCATGTTTGTGCTGCAGTTTAGGAAGTCTGCATAATACATGAATGAGGCTTTTTTCATCTCCTGGCCCTAGCGCCTATCTATAGAAAGCAGGTTATTTGCAGTATTTCTGGTAAGGAAATTACTCCAAGTTGGGTTGTTGTTTTTTTTCAAGAAACAAATGAGCAAACAAAAATCCCATAGTCTCCATACCATCTGTCTTCTCCATGGTGTGGTCTAGTCGGGCCGTCAGTTAACCATCCTCTGACAAGCTAGGGCAGATGAGTCGCTGCACCCTTGAAAAGAAGGAACAGATACTTTGAATTAAAAAAAAAAAAAAGGTCAATCATGCAAACTTAACTTCTCCTTAAAATCTTACACCTCTTCAGAGGCCACCCCCTCTTATTCCCCATATTTTGCAGCCCGACTGTGCCTGCTAAGCATTTTCAAGCTGTTTAAATCAATAGCTCCTTTTCCAGTGGCAACAACTCGTGCTTCACAGGCACATCCCAGGTAGTTGGTTCTTATAAAACAGCCCCTGCATTACAGATGGTTTTGACAGCAAAAGAGAAAGGAGAGACGTTTAGGATAATTTCTACTGGGCTTGAGATAGATAGATGGCACAGGGATTCTTCACCGACTCCTGTAAGCTGGACATATCCAATATAACATCTCTGAAAACAGCAAGAGATATAAACCATACATATAAATGACTGATTTGTCGCCTTTTTAAAAAAAAATAAATCCATAACAACCGAAGATTCAAAATTTATGTTAAACTTTGTTCAAAGGAAACCCATTAGTTCAGAGCACATCCATGCCATTATAAACACCCTTCACCAAATTGCACTAAAATACCAACAAATTGCTTTCATATGAGGGAAGATCTTCAGGTGGAGATCTCCCACAGCCTACACCATGACCTTCACATCCAGCCTGGTCTGTACTGCCCTACAGCTCTTTCCTATCATATGGACACAGGTGAGACCCTCCTGGAGCACGAGAGGAGATTAAGGCTGGGAACAACCCAGAAAAGTCCTCAGTGAAGGTTCTCTCCTCCATGCCCTTTAGAAAGACACAGGGAAGAGGCTGGCAAGGGTGAAGGAGGTTGAGGCAGTTGGACATCACCGTAGAAGGCCCCCTGATCTGCATGAGAAGGACAACATTGCTCAGAGTGAGAAGGTCTGCTTTTTTAATTCCAGCTAAAAAGTGGGAAGTTTTGGACAACCTACTGTTCTTGGACAGTAGGTTGCTTGTTTAGATTTTCCTTCAAGTATCTGATTTGGTTCCTGGCCAAAGATGGTCCCACAGCAGCTTATCTGACAAGATAACTGGATATCCAGTAAAGATTATGATATATAGAGTATAGAGGTGCTGCTGTTATTCTCTGCTAGAAGCACTGACACAACGTGGTTTAACTACAACAAAGATGAGCGGGAAACGAAGTCAAATCCTGCTGTGCTGTTATCATAGGACAGCTACTTCGAAATATCAAAACCTTTTAAAGAAACAATTAGTTCTGTCAGTCAGGTAGACATGTTTAATGTCCATGTATAGCCCTGATGGAGAGATGGGAGGGTCCCAACCCAAGGAGAACATCAAAACTCTCAAAAGCTCCTCCAGTGTTAGGACCTCCTTGATGCTCACATGGCCAGATGGCAACACTGATGCCCGCCCAATGCCAGGTGAGCTTCTGAAACACCTCGAGCAGTGGCTCCTGACACACTCTCCAATTAAGTACTCTTCTTCTATAAAGGGCAATTCCTTCCGTCTCCTCCTGCCAATAAACAGCATGTGCCAAAACGAACGCTAAACTCTTTCTCAAATGTTTTCTTTTAAATTTTCCCCTAACAGTCAATTATGGATCCCAGCTAGAGTCTGACTAGCCACGCTTCACGCTGCTAGGTCATATATTTAGAAGGCAGGGGGTGGGGGATCTGACTAGCCACGCTTCACGCTGCTAGGTCATATATTTAGAAGGCGGGGGGTAGGGGAAAGCCAGTGAATAGGATGCTTTTTAATATCTAGATAATTGCATCTATTTGGTTCGTTTATGAGCTGGCTGGGTCCCAACTCTGCAGCCCAAATTGGTAATACCACTTCTCTCTTTTGACCAATCTACTTCAAAATTGCCTCATAAAAGGATGCTGAATGTACCCTACCAGCTTGCTGATGTCCTCCCGTCCCCCTCCCGGGGCAGCTCAGGTGCGGGGCAGATGGCTTTGAGCCCAAACAACAGCTCCTTGGCCCCCCCGTGTGCTGTCCCATGCCTGTCCCTAATAAAAATGAGATTAAAAAAAGGAATTCATGTGCCAGAAGCATACTCGTATGTCCAGGGTCCAGCCCACAATTCTGGGCAGGGCAGTACTTATGTGTTGAGTTTTCCTCTCTTTACTAAAATTGAAGAAGACTCATTTTCCTCTCCAGGCAGGCAACATCGCCACGCGCACAGCATTGCTGATCTTTACCTTGAATGAAATTACACTGCTTTTCTCAAGGCAGGAATAAATATGTACAGAAATGGAAATCGAGAAGGCAAATATGTGAGAAGGCGACAGCACAGAGCGAAGTGGTTTTATCCCCTGGGGCAGCCCATTTGCAGGGACAGGGTACTGTCTTTTTAACTAGCCCTGTCTCAAACACTCGCTCTTTACAGTCACATTTTAACCCCTCTTTTACTCTGTCCCCCTCACCAGGCAATGTAAGCATCCTCCCACTCCCCCATCCACCCCAGCCAGCAGAAAGGAGAGCAGCATTACACCCCAGAAGGTTTAAAGAACAAATTAACCGAACCACAAAGACAAATATATATGAATGCCATTCTCTGACAGCATCTTGCTAGTAATTTTAAATTGGAAACATTTAACCCTGTGCCTATAAATAGGAAGATAATTCATCCCTGCTGAGCAGCACGTTAGCACAGTCTCATTAGCTGTAACACAACATTTTTTTTGCCTGTCGTGTTCTCCTGCACTGCAGCAATGGCTTTAGCACTTCATGGAGGAAGGAAAAACTACGGTTACAAGAGCATCTTGCTGTGTTACCTTCTTGTGCTCCCACCTACAAGCCCATCGAGGAGCAGAAGCTCTTGCCTCCCTCAAAAGCATCTTTTCCTGTGCTGAGAGCCAGCAGCGAAGGGTTCGGAGCAGCAAACGTGCCTTTTCCAGTTGTTAAAAAGTTGGTCAGCTGAGCAGTGACCTTGCTCGGAAAGCAAATACAAGTTTAAAACAAAAAGCACAAAAGAGGGATTAATTTTCTAATAAAGCAGCCCATCGCTCTCCTATGACCTTTCCCAGGACAGTTCAAGCCTGCTGTAGAAAAACGAGTTACTTTCCGCAGCACAGACAACTTTTCCATAAAAACACAAAACACCCAGCGCTGCCTGGGCTGTCGGCGGGCTGCCTGCCTCCCTCCTCAGGAAAGATTATTGAAAAGACAGTCAATTATTAACGATAGGGTTCAAACTGTACCTGATGCTGCAGGCTGCAGCCGGAGCTCACCCTCTGCATGCTGCACCTCCCAGGCTGGAGGCATTAGCTATTCTGCTGAGCGCCTCTCCCAAGGAAACGCAAGCGGCTGCCGCGATTAAAAGGCGGCATCTTTTAGCAGGAGCCTCAGAAGGTCTCAGCGTCCAGAATTAATCCTGCCGAAGCAGAAAGAGCCCCCTTGCCCCTTTCACCCTTCTCCCCAGAGCTCCAGCCCCTCACGTCGTCGCTCCCATCCATCCGCCGTGTCCCCAGGAGATGCTGAGCAGGGGGGGATGGCGAGGAGGTGGCTATGCGTACCTCGCCGTGCCCCGGAGGCTGCCAGGAGGGACAGCTCTCGTGGGTGCCAGTGGGACTCGCCAAATCAACCTCTCCAGCCTTTTGCAGCAGGGTTATCACTGCAAACTTCCAATCCCAGGCACGGGGGCAGCGGGCAGAGCAGACACAGCGTGCTTTTGTGTGGCTGGGTGATGGGCACAGAGCCCGCCCCAAGCCCCCGCGCTGGGGTTGCTGTCGGGCATCCCAGATCACCGCACCCTCCGGCTGCCAACCGGGGGGAAAAACCACCCCTCAGCCTCTGCGCTGAACTCACAACAACTTCACATTTGGAAAAGCAGGTTCAGCCCCTGCCCGGCTCCCTGCAGCCCCACAGCTGGGCTGTGAACCTCTTCCAGGGCCAGGAAAGAAACTCCTGGAAAGCAGAGGCATCCCACCGGGACATGGGGGGCTCCGCTGGGGGGTTTCACCAGGGACTCACATCATGGAGTGGTGCCAGCACCTTTCCCATCAATTAACAAGCAACCAAATTCTAATGTCAGTAGGAAAAAACACATTTCATTTCTCTCTGCCTGCAGAGCAGAGCTCACTGTACGCCTGCAACCACTGAATGGAACTTTAACAGATGAAGTTTGAAGAAAAGCAGAGAAGTTTTGCCTTTGCAGGAAGCCAAATAGGCTGGACACGTACAGGAACGGCGGCAGTTTGTCCTTGCTCACACTCCCCAAGGCACGGACGGATTAACTTCTTACCCGAAGAATGAAAAATAACCCCCCCACTTCAGCAGCTGCTTAAATGCCGCCTTTCCCATTAAATACCGCCTTTCCCACTCGGCTCCAGCATCCCACACCACACAGGGCCCTGACTCGGTGTTGATGGCATTCTGCTTTCACAAGCAATCACTGAACTCCAGGTTCAAAACAAACTTAAGAGCACAATTGCTTATTTTCTGTCAAATCCTTCTGGTTAAGTTACCCTCGTGCATCTTTTCTGAGCGTATTTCTGTTGCTTATGTTTTCTAGACAAAATAGCACGATAGAAAAAATATACATATTTCTATATGGCACTGATTTTAAAGTAAGCCTAAAAGAATTGTTTTGTTTTCCCACTGGAAAGACCCAGCAGGAAGCTTTTATCTGGAGCATTTCCTTATTGCAATTACCCACATAAGATCTACAGCTTTTCCCAGATGTAATCCCCGTGGGCCTGAAGAAGGTCTTCAAGTCTGTGTCCCCCTAAATAAGCTTTTAATCAGGAACTACAAATGGATGGAGTCGAAACATGCAAATTAATTAATTACGGGTTGGTGCTCGGAGCTACGACTGGCTTATGATAGTTTTGCCCCATGGGGCTGGCAGAGGGTGGGAAATGGGGAAGGGTTTCACCTGGGCACGGCCTGAGATCGCCCCGCCGGGGTGAGGACTGAGGTCACAGCCTAAAATTGCTGCTGCTTTACGTTACACAGCAGCTGTCAGGGGGGATTTCGCTTTGCAGGCTGCTCCCACGGATGATAGGAAACAGACGGCCATGAAACG